CACTTAGATCTTACTTCCCAGTCCTTATCAGCCTCCAGGACCACCAGCTCCGAGGCTTAAGGGTAAGACCTGAGTGTGAAACTTCTTAGCGGAGGCTAGACGTGCGGGAGTAGGGTGGGGAAGTGCTGGGGCAGGGATGGGCGGTCCAGGGACGCACAATAGCCTATTCCTCGGAACCCGCCAATCCCGGCCGCCAGAGGGCGTGGCCACATCTGGGAGGCGGGGCCGTACAGCAGAGGGGCTGCGGCGTCCTGAGGCGGAGGTGCTGACGTGAGTTCGGCGCACCTGGGCTGGGCAGGTAAGGGCTGGTGCGGGATTGGGAGTGGATCCTGCAGTTCCTGCCTGCGGAGAGCGGGTGCCCCTTGCCCAAGTGGTGGAGGGACGAAGTGGCGACGGTTGATCCTAGTTGGGACTTGATTCAGAGTGACGTCTGCTTCTGGTAGCCGGATTGAGGAAAGGTGAGGTCGCCTATTTCTGGAGATTAGCTAGAGGGAAGGGGAACACACCCGCTGGTGGAGAAGGGTCTGCTCCAGTGTTTGTGGGGGTAGGAGACCTTGCTTAGCGACTTCTGTTTGTTTGGGAGCACCCTCTGGATCTGGGTGCCTCGCCCCAGTCCAGGTAGCTTTGGGCCGATCGCACCCCTGGAACGCTCGGACCCTTCCAGCCCCTTACTTACAGTCCACTTACTTACTTACAGTCCACTCCCTTTCCTTCCCGCCGGCACCAAGTGTGCTGCTCTCGGCTCTCAAGCCTCCACCCCACTAAGGGGTAGAGCTAAATCCCCCTCCCCCCATCAGTCTCACCAGCTTACTTGCCCTCTGGCCCCTGTGTTCCAGAGAAAAGGGACTTCCTAGTCCTGCGGCCCTTGATCCTGGTGGGTGTTTTGGGAAATTGGGAGTGCGGGCGACCGGCAGCTTTGGACAGTTTGTTTTCCCTGAGTTTAGCACTCTCAGGCCCCTTGCCCTGGGCCTGGGAAACACCCATGGATTTCTAGGTAGCTAAGCTAGGTACTGGGAGGGTGGTGCTGGGCGTGGTTCCTCTGGGGATGAGGCCCTCTTTGCCTGAAGGGGCTGGAGGGTGGGTGTGAAGAAAGTCTCCCAGGTCTGACTGGGTAGGAGGCCACCCCTGTCCCAACTCTTCTCTTGTGAATATCGAGAGTGACCGCTAGGGAAAGGTGATTGTAGAGGAATTGGTGAAGGCTGGTGCTGACCCAGGAGAGTAGTTTAGGATTAGATGTATATATACTACATAACAGCAGCACCTCATACCTTGTGACTTCCTCTCACTATTCCCCACCTTTAATCCAGCTCTGGTTGGGAGTTCTGGTAGCGTAGTGCCTAAGGCACTTGTCTGCTAACTGGAAGGCTGGGGGTTCAAACCCACCAGCCACTCCTCGGAAAGAAGATGGGGCAATCTACTTCTGTAGTGATACTGCCTCGGAAACCCAAGGAGGGTTTGCTATGAGTTGGTCCGACTTGACGGCACATAACAGCAACAACAACAACAATCCAGCAGAGGGGAAGAACATGGGAATATGGATAGAGGCCCAGAATCTACCCTAAGAACAATTAAATGGAAGGAAGCCTGGGGGATTTGCATGGATGGCATTTCAGTTCTCTTCAGGAGGAAGGGAAATAATAAGACTAATGCTAGGCTGTTGGCAAGAAATGGCAGGTGTGCCTTATTCCAACAAAACCGTGAACAGTCAAGTCTCAGCTCTGGGGCAGTGGTGGCCCTGGAAACTAGTCTGGGCAGGGGCTAGAGGTGACAGTGTTTATGCAGAAACTGCTTGGTGGAATGGGAGTGTGGGGAGAAAACAGTTAGTTTCCTGGGGAGTTTGAAAGTGCCCCTTCCTGTTCTATGCCCAGTATGAAGGGAACTTTTGAGTTGGTATCTTTGCTGGTTGACTGGTTGAATATCTGTTGGAGACTCAGGCCTTGAATTTTGCTGTGATGGCACCCAGAGATTCCAGGCTGAGTTTGCTAGACTAAGGTTATTATGTGGGCTTTGGGATTTAAGTGACAAGGTTGTTTTGAAAGTCATTTCTGAGTTAGTTGTGTTTGAGGGTGAGTGTCAGGCAGTCTCCTTCCTACTCACTTCATTTGCTCTCCATGCTGTTGGGATTTTGTTGTTTTGGTGTTCTTTGCGTGAGGATCAAGTAGAAGGGAGGGACTTGGAAAGGAGGGTATAGGATTAAGCACTCAGCACAGAAGCATTCTGGCTTAGGAGTGTTGGGTGCCTCGGTTAACTAAGTTTCTGAGGCAGTATCACTACAGAAGTAGATTGCCCCATCTTCTTTCTGAGGAGTGGCTGGAGAGTTCAAACTGCCAGCCTTCTGGTTAGCAGTCATATGCCTTAGGCACTAAGCCACCAGAACTCCAGGTATAAAATGTTGTTATGTGCCTTAGAGTCAGACCCAACTCATAGCAACCCTCCTCCTTGGGTTTCCGAGGCGGTATCACTACAGAAGGAAGAAGGTTGCCCAACTTTCCTTCGGAGGAGTGGCTGGTGGGTTTGAACCGCCAGCCTTCTGATTAGCATTCATGTGCCTTAGGCACTGTGCTACCAGAGCTCTTTCATGTTGGTGAGAATGACATTAAACACTTTAAGGAAAAGTGCATTTTAAAACTATAAAGCCTATGCAGATATAAAGGATTGCTGTTTTTGTGATCTCATCAGCTCAAGGCCATTATCTTTATACCTTTCAGTGGCAAGAAGTGTTATATCGTCCTGTGGTTTAAAAAAAAAAAAAAAAGCTTGTAGAGTTTTTTAAAAAGTGTAAGTTGAAGCATGCTCATTGTAGGAAAATGTGAACCATATCCAAAGCATAATGGAGAGTATAAAAAATTACTCAAAATCCTATCACCATATAGTCATTTTGAACATCTTATTGAGTTGGTGGATTTCTTTCCCTTTTTAAAATTTCTTATGTTGTGTTACAAAATGGATATACTGCTACACAGTCAGTGTTGTATGGGGCATTTTCCCCCATACCTTCCTGTTGCGAACATTTCCCCAAATCCAATAAAAATTCCTCAGAAACACCATTGTTAATGGTTGCTTAATATGGTAGCCTGTGGATGTGACAAAATTAACTTATTCCTTTTTTGACCATTTTGGTTGCTTCCAATTTTTCCGTTTATTTTTAGAGTCTAAGTTACGAGTGGTAGGTAGAGGAGGTCTTGGCTGACTTTCAAAAGGTCGAGAAGGTTGGCAGTGAGGGAAGTGGGGCATAAAGGAGGAGGCTGGGGCTCCTTCCCTTGGGGCTAGGAGGTGCTGTTACTCAGATGTAGTGACATCTTGGGAGAACACTGAGAACCAGGGCTCTAGATCTTAATCACTGATCTCTACAGGTGGCTGCTTCTTCCTCCCCATCACTATGTGCAGCTCCTTGTCTGGCCTGAGGTTGCCTGAATTTTTTTCTTGATGGGCAAAGAGGATAAGCCCTTTTCTTCAAAGTCCATGAACCATCAAGAAGTGGATTTCATATGTCTGACAGGCTCAGAAATAAGACTTGCCAATATTGCTACAGAGACTTTTTCAAAAGCCCTTCACCAGGCTGACAACTTCACTGCCCACTTCTCTTTTCTCTTGGTCCTTTCCTTACCCCATTTTTCCTTCCCCTAGTTGTATCTCCAGTAGGGCTTAGACTGGAGAGGAGAAGGTAGATCTTGTTCTTGGGAGAATATGCATTCCCTCATCTGCATAAAGTATAAATGTCCTCCAAGTTTTGATGGTTTGACTTACCTCTTACAGAACAACCTACACCAAAGCCAAGAACATGGGGGAGGGGAGGACTTGAACACTACCTGCTAGCCTCCCCTGCCCACAGTGCGTTGTGCCCCCAGTGAGGAGGTTTCAGTTTCAGGACCTGGTAATTGGGTCAGAAAGCTCAGGTAAGAGCAGGCCCTCCCTTGCTCTTAAAGTGCCAGAGGCTGAGTTGGGTTTGAGTTTTTCCCATTGGAGTCTCGCTGAGGGGAGACTAAGCTAAGCTTTTAGGCTCAGCTAAGCTCTTCTGAGTGGGCACCTTCACCTCACTCACTGGTTTGGTTTCTGAGTCATGATCCAGGTTGAGATCTTCATGGGTGTGCAGGTGACTTATTTATCTTCCTCAGGTTATTGTGGGACTTTAGCAGTTCCAGTGTGGATGTCTTCAGGAAAGAGTGTCTGATAAAAACATTGAGTTTTAGTTTTTAATACTAACACAGTTTGTACATAGTAGTTGATAAACAAATATTTGTTGTGTAAAAAAATGTTAGTTTTCCAAGCATCCCTTTCTCATTTCAAATAAAAATAAAATAAAAGCACCAAAAAGTCTCAACACAATGGCCCATGCAAACAATTCTCTGTTGTGTGCTGTCATTCTATTCTGACTCATAGTGACCCTATGGCACAGAAAACTGCCCCATACGGTTTCCTAGGCAGTAATATTTATGGAAGCAGACTGACAAATCTTTCTCCATGGAGCGGCTGGTTGGTTTGAACGACTAGTCTTTCATTTGTAGGCATTGTGCCACCAGAGCTCTTTTAAACAATTCTCTAGTGACTGATTTTTCCTTCAGGTGCCCCAATATGGGCAGGCCTTTGTTTCCTGCTGTGAGTGTTGCAGCCACATGTTATCTGCTAGCCCATGTACTTTTATGAGACTCAGTTGCAGACTTTACCCAGGCTGGCTCCTGCAACCAATCCATTCACTTCAGCCTCTGTAGGTAGATAATCAGACCCAGATGAGGAAGTTGTCTTAGCTGAGCAGTGCTCCTCTCATGACTTTTTAGTACTCTAGGCTTAGGAATTATGGTATCTGATGATTATCTTAGGGCTTCTGAGTTTTACCAGACTCAGTTGCAGGGAAGTGGTCTCAGAGCCTTTATCTCCAAAGTTCCCAAACTTTCTATGAGACACTGAATTGCACTGTGGATAATGAGCTGAGGCTCCTTTTTCTAATTATAGGATCTTTGGGTGGCCAGGAGAAAGGGAAGCTGTCCTGAGGTCCTACTCTTCGGCTCTCCGTGGACACACTGCCTTCTCTTTCATGTAAGTAAGTACTTTGGAACCCAGGACATGCTTCTCACCTATTTCCCTCTTACACGATGTGTGAAGTATTTTCTTACTAAAGTATTCCCATTTGCGTTTAGTTGTCTTATTTAAAAAGAGAAGGTGCTTCGGTCTCTTGCCCATATACAGGTGCTGTTTCCTTTTTTTTTTTTTCCTCTCCTGCGATCAGCTTAAAAAGGGCAATTTCCCTTCTCTTCCAAAGCCCTTGGTACTTTAGGAAGGACTGTGTTCCAGCAGTAATGACATCACCTTTTTATTTTTCTGCTTCAGGATTTAAAGAGAAGAAATGTGATCTACTTGCATGATAAGTCTAATTTGGCTAGAGCATGAAGTATAAATGGCTTTGGAATAAGAATCAAAAGAACCTTTTAACCTCTTTTCTTTTCTTTCCTACCTGGCATAGTTTGTTCCCATATTTAGTTTCTTTGCTGTAATCTAATGAAACTGTAGCTCGATCATATGGGAACAGTGGCTGGGAAAAGTTCCCAGGGGCTGGCCTAATTCTCCTGCTCTCTCCGTTCCTCCTCTACCCCCCAGATCATGGCCCTCCACCCCCGTAGAGTCCGGCTGAAGCCCTGGCTGGTGGCCCAGGTGGACAGTGGCCTGTATCCTGGGCTCATCTGGCTACACAGGGACTCAAAACGCTTCCAGATTCCCTGGAAACATGCCACCCGGCATAGTCCTCAACAAGAGGAAGAAAATACTATTTTCAAGGTAAAGGACTATCATTTGACTTGGAAGTTTTTCTAGTTCTCACAGACATTTCTGTTTTTGTTTTTGCTTGTTTATTTCATTTTGTTTTCTATTTTGGCACAGGGAATACATTTACCTAAAACTTTTATGAAACAGAGAGAATGTTTTTGATGGGATGCACAACCTTAGTGGCATAGTAATTCCTCTTGTCAGGGCATGTCTATAATGTTTGAAACACTTCATCCTTTCCTACTGGCTGAAGGATCTGAGGTGGGGTTGGCTAAACTCCTGTAAGTAGTGATGTAGTTATTCCAAAAGCTGTGAAGTGTCAGGGACCAAGGACTCCTGTTCGTTCACTCAGGGCCTTTGCTATAAAGAGAGGTAGTTGGTCCTGGAAACAACTATTGAGACCAGAACTGAACTGTTAACTGTTAGTAGGCTCCTAACACAGCTTGTAGAATGAGTGTAGAGGGCCCTCAGGAAAATTTTCTTTTGATGTTAATTGTTTGTTTCCCCAGACCTATAATTTCTGCTAAAAATTAAAGGTGATTTAACAAAACAAAACAAAAAAACACAACAATCCAAACTCACTGCCATCGAGTTGGTTCTGACTCATAGCGACCCCCATAGCGACCCCCATTGGGTTTCTGAGGCTGTAAATAAGTAGATCGCCCCATCTTCTGTCCACAGAGCAGCTGGTGGGTTATGAACCACTGACTTACCGGTTAGTAGCCAAATGCCTTATCCACTATACCACCAGAGCTCCTCAGAGGTGATTTACTTATGAATCTGTAGTCTACAAATGTTTTCTTCAATAAAAGTAGCTTAGATATAATATTTAACTGAAGACAAAATTTAATTGTGTGACATTTTACCCAGTTCAAGGAAAACCCACATTTGACTTAAGACAAGTGTAGTGGGAAGGTGATTGGTGGGAAAGGGTCTTGTGTGGTCTGCAACTCTGAAGTCTGTGCCTCTGCTCCAGACCAGCTTCTCTCTGCTGTCAGTCTTCTGTCAAGACTAGCATTAGTTCCTGCACCCCCAAGGCATGGAGACATGAATTTATTTTTTTTCTTCCATGATTTATAAGTTGTATGTCAAAAGTGAAAATCAGTCACTACCTTGAGCCTCTTAAGATTGATAGCCCAGGTTCTTGCTGAGGCTGGATCAAGAAAGGGCAGAAAGGATAGGCTTAGGGTTCAAAGGTGAGATAGCCCTTAGATGTTTCCACCCAAGTCAGTTATGTCAGGTATAGAAAAGAGAAAACTGGCTGCAGGGTACTTAGAAAAAAGTAAATGAACGCTCTTAATTTAGATATTAAATAATGATGTAAAAGTCATAAGGAAAACACCTGTAAATCATATTCAGTTATTGGAGTTTGCACTGGGAAGGTGATAGGTCACTTGTCAGTATACCTAGGACCCTTACTCCTAGCCTAGCTGGCCTTCCGTTGAGGTCTTGGTCTGAAGCTGGGTTTGCTGTTATAAAGTGTCTGACAGTAACAGGCCATGGGGAAAGGGGCTTGTTTCTGAAAGCTCCACTCAGGAGACTATCTGCTTAGTGCTTGAGGAAAAGGTGGCTGTGGGGAGGCTGCTTTGTTGCATTTTTATCTGTCTATCTGATTTCAGAATGGTGACAGGAGGGCCTAGGGAAGCCAGGAGAAGAGTATGGGTACTTTCACAAATCCTGAACTCTGATGGGCCTTGGTGGGATATGCAGATGGGCACTAACATAAATGGGCCCCTTTTTTATACCCTACATCTACTATCTCATTTAATTCTCTTTTAAGGGAGGTTTTTACCCTCATTTGTAGATGCAAAAGCTGTGTCTCCAAGGGGCTAAGTAATTTGCCAAAATCACACAGCTAGTAAGTGATAGAGCCAAGATTTGAACATGTGGTTTTATCTGCCCCCATTATCATACTTTCCCTTCTGACTAGGAATTGGAAGACCTGGCTTCAAATTCTACTACCATCAACTGCATGTGTGATCTGGAGCCGGTCATATAACCTCTCTGGGTATCAGCTTCCTCGTCAGTAAAAAGTGGAGGAAACCAGTCTTGGCCCATCACAAGATTATTATGAGAATCAAATGAAATAATGCTTGGGAAGGCATTTGTAAAGTACTGTAAAAATGTAAGGATTATTTCCATTTTAGGAAAAGAAATAGAGGCCTGCACAGTGACCAGGATCTCTTAGAAGCAAGAGTCAAAGGGGGTTTGAACAGCATAATGTTTGTTATTCATAATGATTGTCATATGGTACACCATAGGCCCTCTTTTCTTGACTATAAAGTTCAACCATCAAGGGCATTACCTGTTGCTGCATTAGCCTTAGGTCCTCAGTGCCGTCTGACTGGGCTCTGGGGAATGGCTGTGTGGTAAGCAGGAAGGCTGGGGCTGTGGTTCTGGGTTAACCTGGCTGTTCTCCCTGGAGGGGTAGGGCATAGGGGAGCCACAGAAATTTGTAGACTTGTGCCAAAATCTGCACAGCCAGAGTTGGCTAGGCAGAGACAGAAGATCAAATAAGGGGAAGAGAAAATGCAGGGAGGAAGAAGCCAGGCATCCAGGTAACCGGAGATGTGCCTCCCAGAACCTAGGGAGCGGAGAAATTGAAATCCCCCGAGGGGGTTCAGATGGAATAGAGCAACAATCAGGGCACTTAGTGCCTGCTGAGCCTCTTAGGGCAGTCCAATTTTGTCAGATCTTTTCATTCCATAAAAACAAAAAACAAAACTCACTGCTGTCAAGTCGGATATGACTCATAGTGACCCCTCCTTGGGTTTCTGAGGCAGTATCACTATGGATATAGATTGCCTGATCTTCCTTCAGAGCAGTGGCTGGTGGGTTTGAACCATCAGCCTTCTGGTTAGCAGTCAAATGCCTTAGGTACTATGCCACCAGAGCTCCCCTTCATACCATACCACAAAAAAAATGGAAGAGCCCAAATCTGAGAAGAGGATAAGAGGATATGAATCTGAACTGATGGAGGAGGGGTTTAGATTAGCTATTGGGAGAGACTTCCTCATGATTGTGAAGCTCTGCAGTGACTGACTAAGGGGGATTCAGAGGTCTTACCTAATGGGGCAGAAAGCATCCTCAATTTAAGTTTAGAAGGAGTCTGTGGTCAAGAGGAGAGGCAGGGATCTGGGGTTGGACAATGTAATACTCCCTGTCAGCTAGAAAAATGTGCCGTGTGTGCTTTCTGTCTTGAGCTCTCTACTAATGATATCCCTCTACCCAACATAAGAACATGTTACACTTGCGAAGAAAGCTGGTGGTTAGGTTGTCTGATGCCATTAAGTTGATTTTTGACTCATAGTGACCCCAAGTGATGGAGGAGAACAGCTCTATAGAGTTTTTTGGCTGTAATCTTTATGGAAGAAGATCATTAGGTCTTGTGTGGAGCCCTTAAGTAGGTTTGAACTGCCAACCTTTTGGTTAACAGCTGAGTGCTTAACTGTTGCACCATTAGGGCTTCTAAATAAAGCTTAGAGATCTGGAAATACGTTATCAATGGGGGAGAGTGGATATCTTGTTAGCAGAAACATAGATGCCTAGTAGACCTAGAAGTAGGGCTGTGTTCCTACTCTCTGCATTGTTCCTGAGGACCGTGGTTTATGGTCTGAGCAGTTCAGACTTTCCTGCTCTTCACTGGAGAGACTACTTTGTCCCCTTGTCTGGGGGAAGCATTGTGAGTTCCCATATTTGAAAACCAGAGAGGATGAGCCAACTGTTTAAGCCCATGCCACTGGCCACAGGTATGGCTGGCAGCATGTTTCTGATAAAGTGGGAGTTTGAAGAAATAGGGAAAAGTAGGAGATATGGGTTTGTTAGGACTTGAGGTCCTCAGCCAATGGTGCAAACTGAACCTCAGTTTGCCTAAGGCACACTTATTTCTAAAGCACCAGGTTTCTACAACTCTATTTACACATCAGATAGAAGATTGAAGAAAGGGGAATAGCAAGACTAAACTCTTCCTGTCATCTGCCACCCTATTTTGCCTTATTTCTTATTGTCCAGATATCCTTAGCATTTTGATGCATATCCTTTCAGACATTTCTTTCTTTTTTTTTTTTTGTGGTTTTCCAATTTTTTTTAATGCATTTTATTGAAATATAATTTATGTACAGTGAAATACACAAAACTAAAGTGGCATGGGTCAATGCATTTTTTTTTCAGTGTTCCCTCCTCTCCCCTCCAACCCCTGCCAACCAACAAAGAAAGTTTCTCCCCATATACAAACCTTTCCTTGACCCTCCACAACAATGAACTAATACTATGTTTGTTCTTCTGTGATTGACTTTTTTCACTCAGTGTAATGTCCTCCAAGTTCATCCACATTATGCGGTGTTTTGCAGACTCTACATTATTCTTTAGTACTGCGTCGTATTCTATTATGTGTATATACCATAGTTTGGTCATCCACTCTTCCACTATAAATCTTAGAGATAAGTCTCTTGCCAGATAGGTAATTATCAGCAAATATGAATTTGTTGCTGTCATTTTTGTTATGTGCTTTTTCGTGGTGTCAATTTCTTTTTTCCATATAATTTTCTATGCTGAGCTCATTTTGTTTATGAATCGTGTTATCACTTCCTTCATTGCTATTGTTTTAGTATTTGCTGAATATTTATGCTGGTCCTCTTTTTTGATGTGAAGGTTTATCCTTTTTCTTTGAGGTTACCCTGTGATTTATAGTTTTCTTCCCAAGTATAGAACAGTCTGTTTTATCTTATAGTTGTCTTGACTTCCCTACCATCTAGAAGTTCTGTAATGACACAGTTTTTCCCCTCTTTTTGGTTTGTAGTTGTCCTCATTTGTCAATTTTGTTTCTGGTTCCCTGTTTACAATCCTGTAGACTTACTTACTTTGGATACTCCCATAGCTGGGTTGGTTTCTGGGTTATGTCATCATGTGTTTTAATGGTCAGTTGTTGTTGGCTATTGTTGCTTCTCTGTCCAAAGGGTACCTTTTAGCATTTCTTGTAAGGTTGGTCTGGTTTTAACAAACTCCCTTAATTTCTGCTTATCTGGAAATGTCCTAATTTCACCATCATATTTGAGGCACAGTTTTGCTGGGTGCATAATTCTTGGTTGAAAATTTTTCTCTTTCAGTGTTTTGTATATACCATCCCGTTGTCTTCTCGCCTGCATGGTTTCTGTCGAGAAATCTGAGCTTAGTCTTTATTATTATTATTACTGTGATTTGGGTGAAAATTTACAGAGCAAATTCACTTTCCATACAGCCGTTCACATACACTTTGTCTCATGACATTGACCACAATTTACCACAATGCAACAGCTCCCCTCCCACTTCCTCCCCATAGTTACCTCTTCCCTGTGTCCATCCCTCCATGGACTCCTGCCCCCTGAGCTGTCTCCCTGTGCATAAGCAGCCCTTCTTTCTCCCATGATTGTTCTCTCCAAGGAGTGTATCTGCCTCAGGTAAATGTTCATCTCATATGCCTGTCTATTGTTTGGCTGGAAGCCACAGGTGTGGGTTCAATTGCAGAACTGAAGGGCAGCTCGGGGCCATAGTCACAGTGGTTCTACCAGACTCTATCGGACCAGCAAACTTGGTCCCATTCCCCCTTTTTTTTTCTCCAAATGATTTTGGGTTTTGTTCCCTGAGCTTAGTCTTACTGGTTACCCCTTGCGGGTATTTATTTATTTATTTATTTCCGATGCTGCTCTCATGATTTTTTCTTTATCTTTGGTTTTGATAAGTTTGATGATGATATGTCTGGGTGATTTTCTTTTGGGGTCTATCATGTTTGGGGTTCGTTGGACTTCCTGAATTGATACATTCTCATCTTTCATCATACCAGGAAAATTCTCTTCTAACAAATATTTGACAGTTTTCTCTGTGGTTTTATTTGTCTCTTCCTGTTCTGGAATTCTGATGACACGTAGGTTATTCCTTTTGATGGTATCCCACATGAACCTGAGGCTTTCTTCATTTTGTTTTGATCTTTTTTCTGACTGATCCCTTTCCAAAAAGGTGTTCAGGTATTTGTCTTCATTCTCCCTAATTCTGTCTTACATTGATTCAGTTCTGCTTCTCTGCCCATTCAATGTCTTATCTATTTCTGAAAATTTAGTATTAATCTGGATTGCTATGTGTAGGTTTTGTATCATTTCTAATTTTTCATTATTTTGTCATTTTGTTCTTATTGTCTTTTGAAATTATTCTAGAGTTTTCTCTCTGTTTTCCTTGATCTGTCTCTCAATTCGTTAAAGATACCTACATATAATTCTTTTGAATTCCTTATCAGGGATTTCCAGTGCTGAGTCTTCCTCAGGAATGTGTTTTGGGTCTGTATCTTGGTCCCTTGTTTCTCCTGCTTTATCTTGCTTCTTTGTGTAGACTGTGATGCTCTGTTGTCTCTGAGGCATTGTGACGGTTTTGTGTTTTTATTTAATTGGTGATTTTATGTTGTAGTGACTTGCCCACGATTTTTGTTTTGTTTTGTTTGTATGCTATCTACGCAAGCAGGGTACTGTACTGTGCTCCTCTACTTACTAGTGGGCAGCACTTGTACACTTACCACCTGTCTCCTTTCCTATTGTCCGCCTCTCGTATGTCCCTGCCAACCTTGTCAAACAGAGCCTATTCTTAGGTCCCTGGAATCCGAATGAGATTGCTATCCCTTTAAAATTCAAAATGGTTGCCATTTATAAAGTTTCAAAATGGCTGCACCCTCGGTCACTTTAAATTTCCTAAATGGCCACTGCTTGTACATTCAAAATGGCTGCACCCTTGGTTACTTTAAATATCCAAAATAGCCACTGCTTGTAAACATTCAAAATGGCTGCACCCTCAGTCACTTTAAAAATCCAAAATGACTGCCACATGTAAACAATCAGAATGGCTGCGCCCTCTGGACAGTGGAAAGTCAACAGCTCAGGTTGTCTCCCACCTTTCTGTTTACCTTCCTAGTCATAGGCCACCAGTGCAGTCATCCCTGCAGCCCTTGGTGACCAGGGCTGATCTTAAGGTAAATTCTCAGGTCCCAATACCACTTGGAAATATTCAGGCTGTTGGTTCCATTGGAGTAGCTGACAGTCCACATCTCTGACTGTCTCTGTGCTCACTGTTTTTGCTCAGGTTTTTCCGCTAGTTGGTGCCTAATCCACTTCTGTATAGTTCCTTTCAAAACTCAGGGCTCCAGGATTATCTTCTGTATCTCTGTCAATTGGTTTTTCTTTTCTTTGTTGAAGAGGGTCTGTGTGACTTGTATGCTTATTCCTCAATCTTACTGGAAGTCCTCCATTTCTTTATTTTCAACCCTTCATTACAATGCTGTAGTCTGACAGGTGCTGGCACCAATGCTAGATATATGGTTTCTTTTAAAAATTATTTGCTCATGGCTTAATTTCCTTCAGGCCTTGCCTTGCCTGGTGCTAAGGCAGTATTTCTATATAACTAGGTTTGATGGTAGGGCAGGCAGGCTCAGGGATATGTGTTTGTGGGTGGGAATAAGAGGGAGAGTGTGCATACTTTACAGTGGTTCTGGACAACAGCAGGTGCTCACTGTGGTTTCCTATTCCTCAGGCCTGGGCTGTGGAGACAGGAAAGTACCAGGAAGGGGTGGATGACCCTGACCCAGCTAAATGGAAGGCCCAGCTCCGCTGTGCTCTCAACAAGAGCAGGGAATTCAACCTGATGTATGATGGCACTAAGGAAGTGCCTATGAACCCAGTGAAGATATATCAAGTGTGTGACATCCCCCAACCCCAGGGTTCGATCATTAACCCAGGTGAGGCCCCAACTGCTGGGGAGAAGGTGGGCAGTATGCCATGTCCTGGGATGAACTATTAAAGAGATTGTTGCCCTTAAAAGAGATTGTAGCCTGGTTAACCAAGTATGAGGCTGGTAAAGTAGGAAAGCCTTTTCCTAGCAAGGACCAGAGAATAGAAGGTGTAAATGCAGCAAAATCTTCTTGTTCACTTAGGGTAATGGCTTATTAGTCTGATTGCTTAAAGCATTAGAAAGTATAAAGGTCTACTGTAAAAATAGCCTCTCGCTTGGGACTCAACACTGAGTTAAGAGGCCAGGTAGTTTAGACATAGGAGAAATTAAGACTTAGAAGATTTGAGTTCTAAATGAGGCTCTTATCACTTCACTACTTGCATGATAGATATTGAATCAAGTCACTTGACTTTTTAAGCCTCAGTTTTTTAGCTGTAAAATGTAGGCTCTCAATTTTCCTACCTACATCAAAGGATATTGTAAAAATCAATTGATATGATGGGTAAAAGCTATTAAGTTCTTTCTAAATGTTGAGTGTGCAATCATTAATTTATAGGACACTTTTGCTAAGAGAATATGACCTGATTCTTCTGTATATCCAATGCTCAACAAGTACCAACTGAGAAAAACCAAAACCAAAGTCACTGCCACTGAGTTGATTCTGACTCATAGTGACCTCCATTGGGTTTCTGAGGTGGTAAATCTTCACAGGGTTCTACCTCTGTGAAGATATTCTGGAACATAAGTTGCCTCATGTTCCTTCCACAGACTGGGTGGTAGGTTTGAACCACTAGCCTTCTGGTTAGCAGTGAAATGCTTTAGGCACTATGCCACCAGAACTCCTTACCAACTAAGAGTCAAATAATTTAGAATTGTCCTCCAGTGAATCCAGTGAGGCTTGGAATTAAGACTTGTTCCTCATGTTAAGTTTACAAATGTGATAGTTTGGTGACCTTCATTCCTTAAAAGGGTTGCTAATGTGAGTCGGGGCCGACTCGACGGCACATAACAACAACAACAACAATGTGTAGGAAGAAGATTAGGGAAGGTATTAAGAGATTTCTAGCAGGGAGTAGGGTTTATAGCTACTGGATAGGAGAGGGGAAGAGAGCTTACATTAAGGCACTGTATAATGCGTTGGACCCAGCAGTTAATACACCCTTGGTTTACCCATTCTTTTTAGCTAGGGTGCTGAGGGTGCATACTGAGCTTGAGGAACCTCTATGCTAGCTGTTCCTAACTTTTGGGTTGGGCCAGCTGCAGGGATGGCAGTGCAAACTGAGCTGCTCACCTGTTGGCTTATGTCTTTGTTTCTTGGCTAGGATCCACAGGGTCTGCTCCCTGGGATGAGAAGGATAATGATATAGATGAAGACGATGAGGAAGATGAACTAGATCAGTCGCAGCATCATGTTCCCATCCAGGATACGTTCCCCTTCTTGAACATTAATGGTGAGTGTGGGTGAGTGGTGGGTGGCACAAAGGATTGAGGAAGGTGTAAAAGGCTTTTAGCTTGGAACTGCTGACCCTCAGGCACCACTGCACTAGGAGCAGTGACCAGGCCCTGTGGCCAGGGTGCTGGGCTGTGAGCAAGCAGGAGTCATAAGCAAGGGAGCTCCCCTGACTTCACTATCTGGTTGGGGGTGGGCTCTAGGCATAGAGAAAATCTTCTGAATCTTGTGTGATAAGACAAGGAAAGAAATAATTTAAATTCATCCTCACTCCCAATTACAAATCTATCAGCTTTTTAAAATATTGCCTATTTCCTTCTGGCCCAGTGCAGATGTCATTTTCATGAGTTGAAGGCAAATTCTTTCATTATTTCTCTTGGTATAAACTCTGGGTCTACTCTATTTAGGCTGTATCTTAGGAAATTACAGCTGCTAATTTTAGGCTCTGATAGAATTTATCCCTAAGAGACTTCACTTTTATGAGCATTTTGACTGCAGCTTCCCAGGAAAAAATGACTTGAGAGTTTAGAAGGCTACTGTGGGACAGAGCAGATACTAAATCTCCCATTGTCCATTCTGAGCATTCTGGAACATAAATTGACTTGCTGTTCTGCAGCTTTTTTTTTTTTTTTTTACCTGAAACTGTCCACTGAAATGATCTTAGTCAAATGACAAATATTCAGTTAAGGAGGTGTTTTGTTTTGTTTTTTCCTGACTTTCTAGTGCCCTTTGGCTACTATGGGTCAAATGAGATATTTGTGTCATCTAGAAAACCTGATATATTAAGATGATTTATTTAAGATTTTAGGATACTCTACTCTAGATGATGCCCCAGCTTTAAGACTGAGGAAATGACTCTTGTCTGTCTACTTGTCTTCCTTCACTTATCCTGCCATTTCTTTTTCTTTTTCATTTTATTTATTTATTATTTTTTTAAATTGTGATTTGGGTGAAGATTTACAGAGCAAATTCACTTTCCGTACAGCAGTTCACATACACTTTGTCTCATGTCATTGACCACAGTTTACCACAATGCAACAGCTCCCCTCCCACTTCCTCCCCATAGTTACCTCTTCCCAGTGTCCATCCCTCCATACACTCCTGCCCCCTGAGCTGTCTCCCTGTGCATAAGCAGCCCTTCTTTCTCCCATGATTGTTCTCTCCAAGGAGTGTATCTACTTAAGGTAAATGTTCAACTCATATGCCTGTATTTTGTTTGGCGGGAAACCACAGGTGTGGGTTCAATTCCAGCTGAAGGGCAGCTAGGGGCCATAGTCTCAGTGGTTCCACCAGACTCTATCAGACCAGCAAACCTGGTCCCCACCTTTTTTTTTTTTCTTTCTCTAAATGATTTTGAGTTTTGTTCCACATTGTTTTCCCTCTCTATCAAGGATCTCCTACATAGATCCCCTTCCAAGTGGATGACGGTGGTAGCCGGGCACCATCTAGTTCTTCTGGTCTCATAGTTGTATAGGCTGCAGATCAGATGGTGTACCAGTGGCTAGGACTAATTGTTCCCATGAATATAGGTTTTCTTCATTCTTCTTTGCTCTGGACGAGGAGAGACCCATCGTTGTATCTAGATGGCAGCTTGCTAGCTTTTAAGATCTCGCCAAAGTAGGAGGTGGAACAATGTTTTGTACAGTATGTTATGCCAGTTGAGTTATCCTGCCATTTCTATCTTTGCAACCAAGTTGGGGAGTAAAGAAAAATTTCTGGGAGGTCTTTCAAGTCAGTATTGCCACATGCTATATTCCCACTTGGTGAGATTTTTAAGAGTTGGACATCTGAATATTGGGATGTTTTCCCAAATCCTTGACTGACTCATTCTTTTATTCTGACTCCTTGAAAGTATGCAATCTATTTCTAGGATCTTAGTTTCCTACTTATGTTCATATATTACTAAAGTTGTTGTTCTGTGTTTTGTTATGGGCTGTCTTGAATCCTTTTGAGAAAGATATGGGTCATGTATTAAAAACAAAAAAATAAAATGGGTACACAGATTTAACCAGACTTAAACACAAAGGTTCAAAGAAACATTAATCTCTGTGATTTCAGAGCTTTTGGGGCAGAGAAAAAAGAAGCATTGAAGAATAGATGCCTAAGAGGTGAAGCTAGGAGCAGAAATCTGTAGACTTTGGAGGGAGCCAACTTTGATAACAGCAGAGGAATAGGAGGGATTTTCATTATTTTAAAAATCCTTATTTGGATAATTTTGAATAAATAATATTTTCACAAGGCTTGAAATTCATCCTTATGCAAAAAGGTAATTTAGTTCAAGAGGATTACTTTCCATCCTGTTCCCTAGCCTCTCAGTTCCTTCCCTGAGGAAAAACATATTTCTAGGTTCTTGAGTAAATTTATAGAGATATTTTATGCATGTGAAAGTGTTTGTTCTTAATTGATTTTTATACATTAACATTTACTCAAAGTTAATAATCTAATTCAGTTGAGTTCATATTATGAGAGACAGTCAGGTTCTGTTTGACAGCTGGGGACATTTTACAGCTGGGAACCTCTCACTCATGCCCATTTTAATTTAGCCCCCAGCAATAACACATTTATCTATTGTCTCATCTTCCACAAACACAGGTTTTTAGAACTATGTGTTCATGGCAGAATTAATATGATTAGAAAGGAAAGCAGGAGTATGGGAACCTTCTTTCTTTCTTTCTTGTTTTTTTCTTTTTTTTAAATTTCATTTATTTGTTTATTTATTTTTGCTGTGTTGCCTCCCTTCCCCCGCCCTGGTAACCAACAAAGAAAGTTTCCTTCCATATATAAACCTTTCCTTGACTTTTTTCAATAAGGAACTAATACTATATTTGTCCCTCTGTGATTGACTTATTTCACTCAGCATAATGTCCTCCAAGTTCATCCATGTTATGCAGTGTTTTGCAGATTCTACATTATTCTTTAGTGCTACATAATATTCCATCGTGTGCATGTACTGTAGTTTGGTTATCCATTCTTCTGTTGGTGGGCACGTAGGTAGTTTCCATCTTTTTGCTATTGTAAATAGTGCTGTGATGACCATGGGTGTTCATATATCTGTTCTTGTAGGAACCTTATTTCTTATGGTGTTAGTTGTGGGAATCATTTATAAGCTGGGACCTCACTATTGAGTCATGGTCTAGTGTTTGAGTCTTGTCTGCTGACCTTGTAAGTTCTTAGAGCCCCAGGCCAAGTGATGTACATGTATGGTGCCCCTGCCTGCTCACCTACGTCCTTCTGTTCTAGGGTCTCCCATGGCACCAGCCAGTGTGGGCAACTGCAGTCCTGAAGCAGTGTGGCCCAAAACTGAACCTCTGGAGATGGAAGTACCCCAGGCGCCTATACAGCCCTTTTATAGCTCTCCAGAGCTATGGATCAGCTCTCTCCCAAGTAAGTGAGCCCTGATCTTTCTTGCTGGGTCTTGAACTCCTATTATTTTCCCTTTCCTGTCAGCTTTTTGCCTCCATTTCTTTGCCATATGTAGAATAGCTGCCTTTGCCTGGTTCCTCCTGGTTGGCTGATGAGTTACCAGGGGAGAACTCTGGTTGGCTGATGAGTTACCAGGGGAGAACTAAAGAATCATCAGCTCATGCCTGCTTGCTCCTGGTGATGCTGTGATTGGTTATAGTCCATGTTACTTACCTCCTAGAGGGCAGGAAGCCCAGGTTTATCAGTCTGGCTAGCAGATTTGGGAATAAGGCAAGTTGTGGTATAGAGAGGTTAATGGCCATGGGTATAGTTAAGGAGATTCTGGATTTTAGGGGTTTGGGGACTCAGAGATAAAAGTCTCTTTTTGAATTGGACGTAAGTTTATCTCAATAAAGAATCAGTTTCATTGGCCCAGTCTTCTTACACACCACATGTAGTTGGGGTGTGAGTACAAGGAATTGAAATTTTGTCCTAAAACCTTAATAGCTTTAATAAGACCCATAGGGTTCAACAGAGACTTGTTGAGTGAAGATTTACTTTGCTGTAAGCTTTGTCCTTTTATTGTATATTGTTAGATCAGATCCACACTGTGTGCTCATATGTGTATTTTCAGAAAGATGGATTTGTATTTCTTCTTGTTCCTCTGATTTCATTAAACAACGAGCCAAAAATTGGATCCAAACAAGATATCTTACTTTTGATCTCCTTTCAATGCCCATTAATGTGAAGAGTTAGTCAGTATGAAGGGTAGAGATCAGGACCTATCACTTCGCTTGGTGAAATTCTAGCCTTAGGGTGTGACAATTGAACAGAGGTAATATAGATGGACTTTGAACTGTTTTCTTAAAGGAAACCTTCTGAGCGACTATCCTAGGGATATTTTGATGTCTCCTTGTGTTACAGGAGGAACACCTATGGCATTGGCCTTCCTGAAAACTGGTTGAAAGATAGCTCGATCTTGATGGGCTTGGATGAGTCTTAGGGATGAACAAGTACATCAGGAGATCAGAACTCTCATGGTCCTCTCTTACCTTGCAGTGACTGACCTGGACATCAAGTTTCAGTACCGTGGGAAGGAATATGGGCAGACCATGACCGTGAGCAATCCTCAGGGCTGCCGGCTTTTCTATGGGGACCTGGGCCCCATGCCTGACCAGGAGGAGCTCTTTGGTCCCGTCAGTCTGGAGCAGGTCAAGTTCCCAGGTCCAGAGCACATCACCAATGAGAAACAGAAGCTTTTCACCAGCAAGCTCCTGGATGTCATGGACAGAGGACTGATCCTTGAGGTCAGCGGTCATGCCATTTATGCCATCAGGCTGTGCCAGTGCAAGGTGTACTGGTCTGGACCATGTGCCCCATCGCTTGTTGCCCCCAACCTGATTGAGAGACAAAAGAAGGTCAAGCTATTTTGCCTGGAAACATTCCTCAGCGGTGAGTCTCTTTTCAGCAGGTCGATGATAGGAATTGCTATCCGGGAGTACGTGTTCTTTCTTCCATCTCTCCATTCCTCTCCATTCTTCCCCTTTCTTTTCTTTCCTAGTTAAAAAAAAAAAAAAAAAAAATCATTCTGGAGGAAGAGAAAGGAGAAGAGGGCCTTGATTATTTATAGCTTGGCTTTGGCTCCTTCAAGTAGCTCTGGTGGTGTAGTGCCTAAAGCATTTGATTGCTAACCAGAGGTTGGTGGTTCAAAACCCACCAGCTGCTCAGCTGAAGGAAGATGAGGCAATCTACTTCCGTAAAGATTTACTGCCTTGGAAACCCAATGGGGGTCGCGATGAATTGGAATCGACTTGATGGCAATGAGCTTGGTTTTGGTTTTTGGCTCCTTCAGTGTTAGTAGAGAGAGACAGCCTTGTCATTACCCTGCAATTGTTACTAGTTTATCCTAAACTTTGAAAGTTGACCCCATTTGTCATATTCAGCAAATCATAAACTCTTTTCTTTTGAGAAATATCCGGGAACTGAATTTAAGCAGACAGTTCTAAAGAACATAAGATGTGAATTTTGCAATGTGGTTTAAACCTCAAGTGGGTTCAGATCAATGATGCCCAGTAGAAAGAACTCTCTATTCCTAATGTGACTATGTTGTTGTTGTTGTTGTTGTTATGTGCCGTCGAGTCGGCCCCGACTCATAGCGACCCCTCCTTGGGTTTCCGAGGCAGTATCACTACGGAAGTAGGATTGCCCAACCTTCCTTCCGAGGAGTGGCTGGTGGGTTTGAAACACCAGCCTTCTGGTTAGCAGTCAAGTGCCTTAGGCACTATGCTACCAGGGCTCCCTAAATGTGACTATAGAACTATTTAATTTTAATTAATTTAAATAGCCACATGTGACTAGTGACAGCCATTATTGAACAGCAAAAAAGATGGCATTGGAGTGACCCAGTGCACCCAACTTGCTTTTCTACCTTCTGCAGATCTTATTGCTCACCAGAAAGGACAGATAGAAAAGCAGCCACCATTTGAGATCTACTTATGCTTTGGGGAAGAATGGCCAGATGGGAAACCCCCAGAAAGGAAACTCATCTTGGTTCAGGTGAGTTGATGTATCAACAACTCTTCTTCTTTTTGCCAGTGCTCTAGCTCCCAGGCTTCAGGTGGGTTTTAGTTCCACTGGATGCTGGTAGCAGGCTTAGGCTGTGTATAGTAAAGACCAAGCTGGAAAATGCAGGTACTCGAAATGGGTGACTGATTTAGTGAGAACATATCTTTCATCTTCTTATTGACATTTGAGTCTGGCTGAGACCGAAAAGGGCATGACCCTTCTCAGCTTTTCTAGGAAAAGCCCTGCTTACCATTTTTTTTATAGTGATAAAATATATATAATAAAACATTTACCGTTTAAACCATTTTTAAGTGTACAATTCAGTAACATTAGTTATACTTACCGTGTTGTGCAACCATCACCACTATCCATTTTCACATGTTCTTCATTTCCCTAACCAGAAACTAAGGAGTCCTGGTGGCACAACATTAAATGCTCACTGCTAACTAAAAGGTTGGTGGTTCAGACTCACCCGGAGGCTCCATAGGAGAAAGGCCTGGTGATTTGCTCCAGTAAAGATTACAGCAAGAAACCCTATGTGGCAACTCTACTCTGCCTTGTCACATGGGGTTGCCATGAGTCAGAACTGACTCGGAAGCACACAACAATAAGAAAACAGAAATTCAGACCCCTTAAAGCAATGATACCCCATTTCACCCTCCCCCCAGCCCCTGGTAAGAGAGGCCTTTTATGTTGCCTTCAGGAATGTGACCATACTCTGGGAAGTAGCAGAAAGGCCACTTGGGCCTGCCCCCCAGAGTTGTGGTATGAGGCAGGCAACAGATTAAATTTGGTTAAAAGTCAAGTCTTGCTATTCAGGGAGTCATTTATTTAGGCATGTGATGTGATACTACATCTAGATTCTTTACCTTGTTTGGACTGCCTTTTAGAATGAACCTTGGCAGGATGGTCCCGAGAAATGAAGGTGTTTCCTGTAGACGTTAGAGTGGGTGGCTTCTCCAGAGACTCATTGGTCTGTACTTTAATCTTGAGTCTGCCCTGTTGCTTAAGAGTAACTTTTTTCTCAGCAGATACCCATGTGCTCTATGTCCTGTACAGGTCATTCCAGTGGTGGCTCGGATGATCTATGAGATGTTTTCTGGTGATTTCACACGATCCTTTGACAGTGGCAGTGTCCGCCTGCAGATCTCAACTCCAGACATCAAAGATAACATCGTTGCTCAGCTGAAGCAGCTGTATCGCATCCTGCAAACCCAGGAAAGCTGGCAGCCCATGCAGCCCACCCCTAGCATGCAACTGCCCCCTGCTCTGCCAGCCCAGTAATCATGAATGCCATCTTCAGCCTTTTCTTTTTTAAAATATTGTACATATGGATATTTTTTATTATTCAGGTTTAACCAACCAACTTTTGCATCTCTCTTCTAATACTGTTAGTAGTCTGTGACTTTTTCCAAATATACTTAGCTTTTAAAATTGATGTAATTTATGGAGAAATGATCCTTCAGACTTTCCTTTTATTTTTTAAAGCTCCCAATTTTAGTGTAATGTAGTAGGAGACCTGACCTGGGAGTTGGACACCAGGGTTTAGCTGCAGATTTGCTTTCAATAGTGTGGCCTTGAATAAGTCACTTAACCTTTAGTCTTCAGATTCATCATTTATAAAGGGCAGGGGTTGGAATGATGCCTGAAATTTCATCCAGCTTTAAAACTCTGATTTGATGACTTCATTCTACTTGTACAAGGCAAAACTGCCTAGAACAGAACGCTTCTGCATTGTTCTTGTACCACATATTTTTTTTTTCCTGCTTTCATTAAAGTTCCCTCCAGCACTGATTTGTCCAAGATCGAGCTCTGTTGGACCTGTTCTGCTAGTATAGTAAAAGCTGGCTCCTTGACGGGGCGAGTGAGAGGGAGGGGAGCCGGGTGGTTGCTTAGGAACCAACTTGACATCTAAATAGAAGTGGGTGCCAAAGTCTGAAAGTCACCCTGCCTGTGGTGTAAAAGCTCATAAATTGAGTCTCTAAAGAGAATCTGTCAATGTAGAAAGCCTAGGGATTCTGTAGATGAATGGGCTTTTGGGTGTTTACCTCACCACCTCTCAAATACCACTGTGTGTGGTAGATGAATGTATATGACTTGGGTGGTGGAGGAAGGAGTTCTATTTTTCTTTTTCTTGTTTTCTTCTCTGAGGGAATTCTAGAGTGAACTAGGTATCTGGGATAAGCTCCTCTGGCTACAAAAGGGACAGTTCCTCCTTGTTTAAAGGGTTTTACAGAGTCTCACTGTAATTTGGAATTTTTTGCAGTTGGGAAAGATGGAATGTTAGCTGTGTTAAGGCCAGGCTGAAGAAGGGTTGGGCAGCACTGTTCTGGAAAAGACTCAACTAGCACAAACCTTCTTGTCTCACTTCATAGAGAGGTAGCTGGGTGTGAATAATCAAGGTGAAGAGTGAGGCAGAACATTGTAGCTGTATCTGCCACAAACTGGTCTTATCTAGTAAATTTTCTCAGTCTGTTCATTTTGCTGATGCTTTTTATTTATTTTTTTTTTGAGAAGAAATTATACATAATTTAAACTCTAAAACTGTAATAGAAAGCAAGATGCTAATCTCTAGGTGCAGGTCCCATTCCTCTTGAATGCCTGTGTGTGCCACGCCATAGTAAGGAAGCCCATGTCTAGTTTGCTGTCCTTAAACCAAATCACTGAATGATTGAGAGCTTTCATACACTAAAAGCTCAATTCAATCAAAGGTAGCAGTGGGACTTATTTATTTATACAGAATGCTTACGCCTTGGTTTTGAGGTCTCTAAGGGACTCTGGTGGCATAGTGCCTAAGGCATTTGAGTGTTAACCAGAGGCTGGTGGTTCAAACCCACCAGCTACTCCTCAGAAGGTTGGGTAATCTACTTCCATAGTGATACTGCCTTGGAAACCCAAGGAAGGGTCACTGTGAGTCGGGTCCAACTCCATGGCAACGAGTTTGGTTTGGTTTCTGGAAGGGACCTAGAGGGATTTACTGCTATCATTACCCAAGGAAATCTGGATAAAAGTCAGATGCCCAGCTGTGACTAAAATTTGGGCTTCTAGAGACCAAGAAGCATATAAGGCATAGTAACTTTTTTTGGTCTTTGGTTGTGTAGGTGAAATGAGGAATTTGGTCTTGAAGTTAAGCTGCTTTTGTCTATCTGGGTAGCTCAAAGTTAAAAAGAATCTCAGTGGGTAAATTGGGAAGGCAGGTATTGCATCTGGGCGGGTCCCTTTCCTTTCCTCTGATCGCCAGGCTGTCCATCTGGGTGGAAGCCCAATAATGTGAGCTGATAAAGGATGTTGAAAATAGAATGCTCTGAAGTGCCAAGAAGGACCAAACTTTTAGTATGTGACTGTAATGGGAAGTTTAAGAATAAACTTCGAGTGTTTGATGAATGGTTTTATGTGATCTTAAGTAGATAGCCTAGTTTTTGTGTTTGGGATCCTTTATGGAATGCTGAACCTTGGTGCTGTTTCTCAAGTCCTAATGGATAGATACCAGAAAGATTCCTTTCTTTCTTGGGGACTCAGTCTGTTTTCTCCTTGCCTTCCCCTTGCTGAAGATTGAGGAGTCAGGTGGTGTCCCCAGCTCCTTCCCTGTCTATCCCTCAGAACTAGATTATATGCCCTGTTATATGGTCCCATAACCCACTATAGTTTCCCCTTCAGAATAATCATTTCCGTTGGAATTATTCTGTGTCTGTCACCTGCTTGACTACAGATTTGTTGAAGATAGCAATTGTTTGTCTTGGGCTTTGCTGCCAGCTTCTTGCATAGTGTCTGGTGCATAATGTATTCTCAAATATTTGTTGCTGGAATAAATGAGTAAGTCTTTCATTTTAGGGTTTTTTTTTTTTTTTTTTGCTAACCACCATGGGTATATAAATTAATAAATATAGGGAAGGAAAAATTCCAAAATTAGAGGACTATTTTCTAGTTTTAGCTACCTGCCTCTGAGCTAAGAGCCACAGTTAGCCTGGGTGCTCCTACAAGCTGCCCCCCCCCCTCGCCTTTCCAGGCTGGCCCCATCTTTAGTCCACAGTTCCCTCTTTTTACAGCCTAAAGATATCATCAAGGTAAAGCCTCAGGTGCAACACTCACTCACTGCTGTGGAGTCAGTTCTGACTCATAGCGGAACCCTCCTTGGGTTTCGGAGGCAGTATCACTATGGAAGTAGATTGCCCAACCTTCCTTCTGAGTAGTGGCTGGTGGGTTTGAACCACCAGTCTTCTGGCTAGCAGTCAAGTGCCTTAGGCCCTATGCCACTAGAGCTCCCCCAGGTGCATATGCTTTTCAAATGGATATTTTGCAGGGGTAAAACCTCAGCTTTTGCCCTGTCCACTTACAAACAAATTTGGGCCATTTTCTCAGGAGTTTTCTCAAGACATTCCTTCCCTTGCTGGTAGTTAAGAACATGTTAACACTTAAGCGAAATAACACTCTTTTTCTTCTTAACGTTCTGATTGAAAACCTCTGCATCCCTGCTTTTCCTTTTTCCTCATGTGAAGCAATAAACTGAATTCCTAGAATTGAAGCTTCATGAGGGGGAAGTTTTTCCACTGCTTTATTCACTGCAGTAACTTCAGAGCTTAGTTCAGGGTGAATGCTCACACCCTTCCTAGAGACTACAACCTTGGCCAGAGTTGCATTTGTGCACATTTCTTCTTGGAAGCCAGCCCCTCAAATTTAGGATTTAGGCAAGTCAAAGTTAAATAAAAAAGACAACCTTTGCAGCAGTCCAACAAATGGAAACTTTTTTTTTCCTCCTCAAAACTCCTTTTTTTTCCCTTTTTCATTGTGACCTGGGTGAAAATCACAGAGCAAACTCACCCTCCATACAGCAGTCCACACACCTCGTCTCAACACACTGACTACAATTTAACCCAGTGCAACAGCTCTCCTCCCCGTGTCCATCCCTCAAATGGAAATTCTTAAGCAGAACTACAACCTACAACCTTCTGGGTAAAATAATACTGTGGAAAACATGCCCACTATCTTGAGATATGTTTCATTTGGGAGGCAAAGTTTATTAAACACTGACTTCCCAGTCTAGTGGGACACCAGATTTAACACAGGTAGGGCATAGAGCAAGGAGCCCTAGTAGTGCAGTGGTTAAAGCGCTTGGCTGCGAACCAAAAAGCCAGCTCCCGCTGCACAGGAGAAAGGTGTGTCAGTCTGCTTCCGAAAAGATTACAGCCTTGGAGACTCCTGTTGGGCAGTTGCTATAAGTTGGAATCGACCGGGTTTAGAGCACAGCCCAACGCAAAGCGACGTCTGAGGCCACCACCCAGTTTCACCAAGCTCCGCCTTGTTTCGTCCACTTCTGCTCCTCCCACTCCTCCGCAGAAGCGCCGGGCCGTGTTATGTGGTGGAAAGGGCCAGGCAGCAGCCTGTCCATACTTCCGGCATAGTGAGGGGTTAACGCACAGCACGCGAGCTGACTGGATGATGTCATGGAAGAGAGAGAGAGGCGGGTAGGAGGGGACTCTGAGAGGAAGGGCATGCGCAATAGCCCATCTTCTCGGGCTGGAAGTAAATCGAGGCGGAAGAGCAGTCCCTGCGCGGGCGGGATTCCCGGCGCCGCGGCGGGGTGAACCTCCATCGGAAGTAGAAGAGGGACCTCTGTCTCTTTTAATAGATCACGACGCCGTGCTAATGGGAGAGTGTGGAGATTGGAGTGAGCCTGTTGTCCTCGGGTCCTCGGATGTCGGCCCGAGGGCGAAGGTGGGGCCAGTAGAAGTTTATTTTAAGCCTGAAACGTTGAAGGTCATGGTGTCATTTTATGGGTGAGAAAACTGAGACCTAGAGGGTCTTTTTATCATGGTCCTTTGGGACAGCCTTATTTACCCTGGCGGAGACAAAGAAGGTGAATTAAAACGATCTGTAATCTGAAGTGTTAATATTAGACCTTCGGAGAAAGGGGCAGTACCTAGGAAGTATGAACCAGCAAGTAGTGGCTAGAGACCTCCCTGTCTTGAAATAATCTTTCAAGTCCTGCAGTTCTATCATATTTTATTTAATTTGCTTTTATATCTTAAAGTAAGGTGGTTATTAGTCAACATTCTAGTGTATATTAGTTTAATCAGATTGCTATAAGGGGAAGTTGGCACTGGGAAGAGTATATTTAGAACCTAGAAGGGTAGTTCTGGGTCAGATGCTCAGAATGTTGCCAAGACCCTCTTACCTATATTTTGCACCTCTTCTCCACTCCCTGTTTGAATGCAAACGTAATTTGCAGCAGGTAAAATTTAGAATAGAAGCCAGAGAATATAAAGCTGGCCATAAGACAGAGAGACAAGAATTTGAGGGTACAGGAGACAGTCATGAAAATCAGGCAGCATTGGTGATACCTTTTTACGTGGCTGGGGTTAACATTTCAGAGTAGAGAGGGGGACGAAATGATCTTTGGAAGATGCTATAAGACTTATGGGAAGACTGTTGGCAGGTTGACTGGTGTGCCACTGGCTTGTATTAATAATCTTCTGCTAATGCTTTGTTTCTAGGCTCTTCCTCAAGTGTGTGGAGCTGAGAGATGCAGCCCAGGGGAGGGAACCATGGATAGTTAAGCAGGCCATCTGTTCTGGACTTTGCTCCCAGATCCCATGTCAACACCAAGCCCTCAGCAGCTGGTGGCAGCTGCTCAGCAGACCCTGGGCATGGGAAAGAGACGGGGCCCACCCCAAACCATCTGCCTTCACCTAGCTGGAGAGGTGTTGGCTGTGGCTCAGGGACTGAAACCATCTCTGCTCTATGATTGTAACAGTGCAGGGGCTTCAAAGATCCAGAGCTATCTGGAGGAGCTGCAGAGGCTGGGCTTTTTGACCTTGGGACTTCACATCCTTGAGATTGGAGAAGACAACCTGATTATCAGTCCTGAGCATGTATGTCAGCACTTGGAGGAGGTCCTTCTTGGTACCATACCCTTTGTGGATGTTTCTAGCTCTCAACCTCACCCTTCTATCTGCTCCCTGGACCACCTTCAGGACTTGAAGGGCCTCGTGACTGAGATCATTGTGCATTTGCGGGGGCTGCAGAGGAACCTCTCCCTGGCAGTGTCCTGCAGCAGGCTCCATTCCACAGGCTGGAATTTCTGTACTGTGTTTGGGATCCTCCTGGGCTATCCTGTCCCCTATACCTTTCACCTGAACCAGGGACATGGCAACTGTTTAGCCTTTACTCCACTACGGGTGTTCACTGCCCGGGTCTCATGGCTGCTGGGTCAACCCCCAGTCCTGCTCTATTCCTTTAGTGTCCCAGAGAGCTTATATCCATCCCTGAAGGGTATTCTTAACACCTGGGAGGAAGACCTCAGAACCCGATGTAGGGCTCAGAGTGACTTTGCTGACCTCAGGATCTCCTCTGAGATCGTCACGCTACCGGCTGTGGCCCTCTGACTTCTTAACTCTCCTTCCATGATAGAAGATGCTCAGTGAATGAGGATGCCTCAGGCTGTGATCATCTCAAATGCCAACTCCAATCTTTTGGCAGTGGCTGTCTAGAGAACATTAGTAAAGGGTGTTGAGGTCATATCTGGGCTTAAGGGAAAAGAATGATGTACTTTTTTGGACATATCTGCCATAGGCATGGGAGTAGGTGATGGTGGTGGGGGTGGTAGCATTGGTACTATATATTTGCCATTTTCTAGGGCATCCTCTTGACTTAAGCTGTCTGTTAGCTTATTGGATAGGAGATAACTGGAAAGAGATGGTAGGGAAGAGGAAGGGTGGGTAGAGAACAAGTAGTATGCCCTTGTGTGGTAATCTTGTAAATACACCTGCTGTATGCAAATACAAAAGACTGGGCTCCACCTGAATTGGACTAGGAAGAGGAGACTAGCATGGTTAAGTATCTTATACTTGTGATATATTGTGTCATTCGGGAATAAACAGTTCTGAGGAAGAGAGACTGGTCAGATAAAGTTTATTGTTTTACAGTAAGTTAAAAAAAATAATAAAGTCAGAAATTGCAACTTCATTTAGAGGGAGAAATCCAAACTGTAAAATATCTAAACCTCCTGAGATTTCCATTGAGTTGATTTCTGATTTCTCACCCAAGGCGGCAGTCTTGGCCATTTAGATCATCAGGCTGTCCATGTTGGCCAAGAACACTGCCAGCGCTGCAGCAAGCACCACCATCAGCATCGGGAGGCATCGGCCACATTGCCTCTATGTGGAGGGAGGAAGAGATGAGAAAGAGACCGTGAATTGGTTAGAGTGGACAGTGGGAAAAATAATCTTCCTTCTTCCCATTCTAGTCCAGTGGGAAAGTGAGTTGATGGAGGAAAAAAGGTTTTTACTTCACTGTCTTATTCTCTAGCACCTGCCTTGAAACTACTTTACTGGTGGGCACTGGCTTATAAGCCAGGGTCACTGGCTCAGGAAACAACATTCAGCAGGGACCAGATAAGAAAATGCTGCTGTGAATGAACAAGGGTGGAAAATAGCAAAATTATGTTAGTCTCTATTCATATTCTTCCATAACTGGCTCTTTTGCCCTTGCCACCATGCTCAAACTAAAAGAACACCATTATGTACATTGTTGTTAATGTGCCATCGAGTGGGCCCAGACTCATGGTGACCCCTCCTTGGGTTGCCAAGGCAGTATCACTACGAAGTAGATTGCCCAACCTTCCTTCCGAGGAGTGGCTGGTGGGTTTGAACTGCTAGCTTTCTGGTTAGCAGTCAAATGCCTTGGGCACTATGCTACCAGAGCTCCTCTTTTGTACATTAGCTAATAGTAAATCTTTTCCTCTGGGCTCAAGAGTTCATGAACACTAGACTTGAAAGCATAGCCAATGTTACTTTCCATGGTTCCTGTGAGTGGAGCAGGCTGGTCAGATGTTGGCATGGACCAGGAAATTATATCTGCCAAAACTTAGCTAAAGGAACAATCATTCCCATCATCATCTTGGAATATATGGGAGGGCAGACCCTCTTACTCTGGGAGGCGGCTGCTGGCTTCGGTTCAGCTCTTCTCGACAGTGCTGCAGCTTCCGCAGGCAGGAGAGGTACTCATCACTGAGGTTGTCCAACTCTGAATGCAGTTCTCTGCACTGAAGGGAAAAATCACAAAGGTCATCACCACCAGTTCTGTGTAGGACAGAACGGAGCCCAGGTAGGGGAGACAGCCTTTCTGTGTAAGTTCCACCTTCACTCATTGGGAATTTTTACCACCATCCTCCCTTCCTAGCCTTGCTCAGAGATTTTCAGTTTGTCAGAAATGTACTTATTTAAGTGATTAATTTTAATGCTGCTCTACATGTAAGTGCTTTTATTTGACAATGTATGTGCAAGTGCTTTGCAACAGGGACACCAGAAACAAGTTGTTATAGCACAAAAGACATAAGTAATCATAGTATAAGTCTCTTTCCCAGGAACTAGTTGCATATGAATGTATATTTGTGAATATGTAGGTGGGAAGAGTTTTGTTATTTAAAAGACACTATAAAGTTTTAAGGAGCTCTGGTGGTGTGGTACATAAGGCATTTGACTGCTAATCAGAAGGGTGGTGGTTCACACCCACCAGCCACTCCATGGAAGGAAGATTGGGTAATCTACTTGTGTAAGAAAAAGTTTTAAGAGACCAATTCAATGTGGGATAAAGAGTTAATATATTTATTGAATGTGTTTGAATTTAGCTTGATTATCCAAAAGGGATATTTTATTTGATAAAACCTGTTTTGAAGAGAAGTTGTTCCAAATAAGAAGGGAAAAGGTTGACAAGTCAACCTCAAAGCATAGGCATTTTATACAGGCAAACGAACACCTGTGAGCATCCAATCACAGTTTAAACCTGAACTCTGAAATGCCTCTCTGCCTGTCTCCCAAAGAGTAGGTACTGAGCTGTCACTGGTTTTTCCCTGTCACTTCTAGATGAGCCCCTCACTATCTGAGGTCACCATCTCACCTCCTTTTCCTTGGCCTGGAGCTGCAAAGTCTTCTTTTGCAGCTGGTCGCTGAGATCCCAGTCTTTCTCCTCCCCTGTACCCTCAGGCTCCACTTCGTTAAGGGAGGGCTTTGAACTCCACACAGGAAAAGCCTGATCTAAAAAAGCAGCCAGATTCTCAGTGACAGTGAAGTCTGTGTCTCTGAGGAAGGACCCTGCCACGGAGTGAGGACACTTAGGGGGTGGGGGAACAAAGAGGAGGGAGCCAGGGAGAGTGCATGGGATGTAATTCTCTGACTTTTAAAGAACTCCCATCGAGACCCAACTCAGCCTGGATAGAGAGCTGGAATTTGAGCCCCTTGAGGGCAAGGCTGCCATCTTTCTTTGTGTCCCTAGCCCTGTTTAATGCCAGATAATTTTAGGGAATGTTTATTAATTTCATCTCTTTGGTTATTTGTCACATACTTTCTAGTTAGGTATGTCTGCTGGATGCTTCATTATAACCTCTTTTTCCTTCTGTCCTCATTTCAATCATGAGACTGGCAGCTTACATCCTAGAATTCATCTTCATGTGGCTAAAGATGGTTTTTCAATCACCTTGCAGTCTTAGTGTAGTGAAAAGACACTGGGCTGGGCTAGGAGTTTGAAGTTCTGGATTGTTGTTTTAGCTCTATCCTTAATTTGTATGGCCGTAGACCTTTATTTTCTTACCCGTATGATGTAGTCATAATAATCTCTGCCTTTTCTATTATATTATGCCTGGTAGTTGTGAGGAGGAGAGATGCCAAACTACAGGCCATATGAAGTAGATAGTGAGGCACTGTTGTGCCCCCACCCCCCATATGCATGAAGGTTTCTTCTTAGGAGGCTAAGGCAGCAGACTCTTTAGGGTTAAGAGTGAGGTGGCTGTTGGGGCTGGGGAGTTGGATGTGATTTAGAAAGTGAAATGTGTAAAAATTGACATGAAATCCTGGGTTCAAAATCAATTTATTGAAATTTTCAACATAGATATGTTTCCAGAGAGAGTAAAGTCTTTTTTTTTCTTTCTTTTGTTTGTTTACAGTTTATATACCTCTCAGAATAGAAGGCTATCTAATTTAAGTGTTCTCAGTCCTTAGATGAGTAGTCTTTACAAAGCTCCCCTACACTCCTGACCTAATAGACTCCCAGAACTGAATGGGACTCCAAGAGGTCATGTTGTCCATTCCCCTGCCTATAGGCAGGCAACAAAAGAGCAACTCTTACAATTTGTGGTAGTAAATTTGCTGACCTTTCTTTGTTAAGCATTTCTCCTGTTCTTGAAGCTGTAAAGACTGATTCTGAAGCAGACCTGTTGGAAAACATAAGAAACTTGTCTCTGCTCTGTTTACTGCAAAGTAAATTTATTGCAAAGAATATCTTTTCATAATTTTGATTAAAACCTTATTAAACATGTTCCCATTCTTACATTTCTTTCTACCATGTCTTTACCATCAAGTCTCTGCTTACATCTTAACTTAGAGGAGATTCTCCCAGATGACTCTATAGATTCAATATCAAATATTTGTTCGTTAACCTCCTTTAATTTTCCACATAGCAGTTATTACAACCTGACATATACTTATTTGTTCGTAGAAATTTGACATTCTACTGTAGGGCTTACTTAGAATGTGAGTCATAGGGGAAGGACCTGTTAATTTTCTTCATTACTTTATCCTTAGTGCTTATATCTGAAGCTCTGGTGACTTAGTGCCTAAGGCATTTGACTGCTAACCAGAAGGCTGGCAGTTCAAACCCACCAACCACTCCTTGGAAAGAAGGTTGGGCAATCTACTTCCGTTAGTAGGGATTTAATAAATAGATATTGAATAAAGGTGTGGTTTTGAAGTGACTTGCTGTCCATTCAGCTCTTGCCCTGTCGGGGCACCTGTTCTGCTGGTGCTCATTCATCCTTTCCATTGTGGTTAGGTTGCCTTGCTCATTTAAAATTCATTCTTGTTTGCACGAAGCTCCTTTGTGAGGGGTGTCAGAGGCTAAGGTCGTGGGGAACCAGCAGAGGTTATTAATTGAATCATGTTCTCCAGCTTTTTTAGAAATTGTGTTCTTTTCTTCTGGAAAGTTCTTTTTCTTCTCTGTCCCTAATAAGTAGTTTTGAAATGAACTGAGCTTATTTTCTGAGCCATTCATGGAGATGAATGTCTATGTGATATGTTATTGTTAGCTGCTGTTCAGCTGGCCCCTGACTCATGGCTGCCTCATGCACAGTGGCCTGTGCCATCCTCATGATTGGCTGTGGATCCAACCATTGTCATCCATAGGGATTATGTTGGCTGATATTTGGAAGTAGATCACCACACCTTTCTTTCTAGAGTCCAATTTAGTCTAGCAGCTCCACTGAAACCCGCTCAGCATCATAGCAGCACACAAGCCAGGTGGTGACTGTGATGAGGTGCACTGGCCAGGAATCAAATCCAGATCTCTGCACGGAAGGTGAGAGTTCTACCACTGCACGATCAGTGCCTCATGTAATATGTGTGTATATATGTGTGTGTGTGTGTGTGTATATATATGTATATGTGTGTGTATATATATATGTATATGTGTGTGTGTGTGTGTGTATATATATATATATATATATATATATTTATGTAACAAATTATAATATTTAAAATAAATACTGCCTAGAAAACCCAACACTAGTAGGCTTGTAGTCTTTTTAAAATCTGCACTTTTGGGGATATACAAGTGCTTGTGGAAGGGGTAAAAGAGAAAAGAAAAAAGAACAGAGGCTATTACATAATTTGTGAAGAGCTGTGTAAATGATCTCATTTCACAAGAAGAGCGTCTGAACATTCACAGAGGTAGAGGATGTACAGTCACTCCATCCCTTGGATCCCTTCTTTGGTAGAGAAGCCCCATGAACACCAAGAACCACATATGCTATTTATTTATAGAATCTGGAAAGGGAACTCACTTTGCATCTCCTGTACTCTGGCCACCAGGATGAGTTTCTCCTCCTCTGACCTTTTCAGTTGATCTGAAAATGAAATAATGCAAACCAAAGTAGAAGAATCCAAGACTTTAGTTAATTCAACCCCTGAAGATGGAAGTTAGTAATAAGTACTGTCTTGTCTGTGGCTTTTGACATGTATGAATAGAAGCTGCTCTATCTTCTACTTACTTGTCCCAGAGAGGAACTAGAACTCAGTATCTAAGATTCAAATGGTGACAATGTTGGGTTGAATTAAGGGTTGTATTGACACACTATCTTGTCCTCTCATGTAGCTGATACAGAAGTTGTGACTGGGAGACCTTCACCCATTATGCCTTTTGCTTCAACTGACCTTTCCCTTTCAAATTTGGAATGTAGCTTTGATACATGTGACTGATACGGGAACAGCTGTGATATGGTCCAGAAGAGTGGGCTGGAAAATAGAGCTGATTGTACAGGATTCTCTAGTGTAGTGTAATTAATTTTCAGTTTAGGATGATTAAAACAGTTCTGTCTTTCCTTCAAAGTTAAATGAAGTCACAGAGCCAACCAAACAAACCAATGAAAGGCTGTTTTCTGCCCAGATTCCTTTCTCTGAGTTGTTACCATGCTCCTGAGACCTCCAAGGAGAAGGGTACCTTGTAGGTTCTGGGTATCCGAATTGCACAAGTCTCTGTCCCCCTGCAGACATTCAATCTTGGCCTGCAACTCTTGGTGCTCATTCTCCAAAAGTAGCAGGGCCTGTTTCATCTGTATATCTCTGCTGTCTGCTCCCTATAAGGACAAGAAGCCATCTCAAAAGCAAATCAGGGTTGGGGATGGAAGTTAGGTGTAGGTCTCATGGAAGAGGGTAAAAATTGTATAATTTTAGAGTTAGAAGAAGTATTAGGAAAATGGAAATAGTGAAGCTTCTGATATTCACAAAAGACACATCTCCTGACACCTTGGTAAATCCCCAAATAAGGAATATTGTATCATCACTTTTCTAGATGTGTTCACTTTTCTTTACTTCTGTTATTGGCACTATCAATTTTGTTTTTTTAGTAGGGCCATTTTTCACCTAGAATTAATGTTAACAACAACAACAAAAACACTTCATAAGAGTAACCTCATAGGTAATGGGAAGAAGAGACCATCAGTACAGTTAAGCTGTGATGTGGGTATGGAGTGGCCCGCTAGGTTCACTCATTTGGTAAGGCTTACTCCCCCTATCTCTTATCAAATGGTCTATCCAAATCCTTGCGTCAGTAAAATTATAAAGAGCAACTTTCAAGGTAGATCAAATTCCAAACTACGTAAGTAAAATCTGTGAAAAATATTTGCTAATATTTGTTGAGTGTTTATATGCGCTAGGCATTGTGTTAAATGCTTTACATGGATTACTTCATTTAATCCTCACAACAATCTATGTGGGTACTATTGTCTTCACTTTAGAGATGAGGAAATTGAGGTTTAGGAGGTTTGTTAACTTCTGCAGTGTAGTACAGATTGGAAAGGTCAAGCCCTTGAAAATGCCAGGTTGGGGATGTGAAAACCTATGTGAATGCCAATGGTCTCCTGTAATTACTTAGAAATCACACTGGCAGGATGTGTTGGTTAATACTCGCCTATAAATAAGTTAGTGACATTTGTTAGGTGCCAATAGTGGGCAAGCCTGAATTCAATGCTCTACTGGGAATGGTGTGGGCAGAGTGGGTTGGATATAATATTAGTAAGCTGATAAATATTCCAACCCAGCCTTCTGCACTGGTGTCATTCCAGTGAACTCTTAGTTCATTTGCATGAGTAGTGTAGACATCCTTGCCAGCACAGAATTAGATCTCAGAGTCAAAGCAGTGAGTCAGGTACAAAGTGAGCAGTGAGTGAGGAACTGAAAGCTAGATGTCCTCAGCTGCCTTTGGGGCCCCCAACCCAGCTGCAGTTTCTCTCATCAGCCCCCAGAGCTTGTCTCCTTTCTCCATTCCCCAGTGTCTGGTACCTGCAGTTTGGACTGAAGCACATGGAGCTGACTTTCCAGCTCCCTATGCTGGGTCTCCAGGGTTCTCCAGTCTTCCTTCAGAGTATTGTATTGGGTCCTCCACTCTTCACATTTCTGCTCTGCCAGGGCCAGGGACCGCTGAGGGAGATCAGAGAGGAGAAAGAGTGCCTTGGGGATTCCAGGGAGTTATGCAGCTGGCTCTATTGCTCCCCAGAGCTGCACCCTGCCTCCCATAGTTCCCAGCCCCAAGGACTCTGGCCCATACCTGCGTGCTCTGCAGTTGCTGCTCTGCACTCATTTTCTCCTCCAGCACTTTCTGCAATGACTCCTTGGCCTTCTGTTCATAGCTGTTTTTCTGGTCTTCCATCTCCAGTAGCACCTTTTTCATCCCCCAAGGGGAGTATTTCTATAAATTTGTTGCAATTCAACAAATAACATATTGAGATTTCCTGTGCCAAACACTGAGCTGGGATATAGAAATGAAACGAATGGCCCTTGCCCTTAGAGCAGAGGTGTGAGTGGAATCAGGTAAACCTTTAGGTTCAGACTAAAGCTGGGCAGGCATCTGTGTGAACACAGGAGAGGAAAACATGCTTGACATTCACTCCCTCGACCTTCCACAAGCACTAGAAATCCAATATCCTAAATGGAAATCATCTTTCTACACTTGCTTCTTTAACCTTGGCTTCCTATCCCAGTAACTGACATCACTTCCCATCCAGTCTCTCAAGTTTAAACCAGAGAGGCATCCTTGATTTCCCTTTCCTTTTTTTCCAGTAAGGAACTCTGTTGGTGCAGTGGTTAAAGCATTCAGCTGCTAATCAAAGGGTCGACAATTTGAACTCACTAGCACCCCTAGCCTAGTGCCTAAGGCACTTGACTGCTCACCAGAAGGCTGGCGGTTCAAACCCACCAGCCACTCCTCGGAAGGAAGGTTGGGCAATCCTACTTTCGTAGTGATAGTGCATCGGAAACCCAAGGAGGGGTCGCTATGAGTCGGGGCCGACTCGATGGCAAACAACAACAACAACAACAGCTCCCCTGTGGAAGAAAGATGTGGCAGTCTGCTTCCATAAAGATTTACAGCCTTGGAAACCCTGTGAGGCAATTTTGTGAGTCCTATAGGGTCACTATGAGTCAGAATCAACTTGATGGCAGTGGGTTTGTTTTTTTGGTTTTCTCCCAATAACCAGTTGGTTACTGAGACTTGTCAAGTAACTTCCTTAACAGCTCATAACTCTCTCATCTCTACCCCTACTGCTACCTCTTTAGTTCAGGCTCTAATAATAGTGATTATATGGTATAATGGAATAGTTTGACTACTTCTAAGCCTTCCTTCCAACTCTTCCATTCTGTAGCTAGAGAATTCTTCCTAAAATGCAAATCAGATCATGCCACTCCCTGTTTAAATCTCTCTATGGATGCTCCATGTCCTAAAGATTAAGTCCAAACTTGCTGGCATGGCTCTTATTTACAAGCCCAGACTTTCATTCCATGCTGCTTCTATCCAGTGTGAACTGATTGTAGATCTCCTAAGCACCATGCTTTTTGGCCTCTACTTTTACCCATGTAGCTGCTTCTGCCTAGAGCATCCTTACCTACCTTTCTAACCTGGTTAATTCCTACTCATGCTCTAGATTCAGCTCAGTTATCCATCAGTTCTGATAAATCTTGACTAACAAGCCATGGTGTTTTGAATCACCTCATATGCGTGTGAAAGCTGGACAGTGAATAAGGAAGACCAAAGAAGAATTGATGCCTTTGAGTTATGGGGTTGGCAAAGAATACTGAAAGTATTATGGACTGCTAGAAAAACAAACAAATCTGTTCTGGAAGAATTTCAGCCAGAATGCTTGTTGGAAGTGAAAATGGCCAGACTTCATCTTACCTACTTTGGTCATGTTGTCAGAAGGGACCAAACCCTAGAGAAGGTGTCGTGCTTGGAAAAGTAGAGGGTCAGCAAAAAAGGGGAAGGCTCTCAACAAGATGGAGTGACACTGGCTGCAGCAACAGGCTCAAGTATAACAAGGACTGTGAGGATGGCGCAGGACCGGGCAGTGTGCACAGGGTAGCTATGAGTTGGAGCCAACTCAGTGGCATCTAACATCAACAACAGTCTCTATCCCTCCCTCCAACTCCTTATGGATTAGGTAGCCTTCCTTAGTGCTTGAGTAGTATCCTTTTTATATTTCTATTATTCCAACTTTATTAACTCATCTGTCTCTCTTGTTGTTAGTTGCTGTTGAGTTGATTCTGACTTATGGTAACCCCATGCTTTAAGAGAGTACAACTGCTCCATGGGGTTTTCTTGGCTGAAATATTAATGTAATTTCACTAGGGCTTTTCTTAGAGGGTTCTACTGGGTAGATTCAAACTGCCAACCTTTAGGTGAGAGTTGAGTGTTGTTCTGGTTACCCAGTGCCGCTCTGACAAGAAATATACCACAAATGGGATGGCCTCAAAAAACAGAAGTTTATTCATACAATTTGGAGGCTTTAAGTCCAAGTTCAAAGTGCCAGGCTCTAGGGGCTGGGTGAAAGCCCCTCAACCTTGGGGTCCAGCTCCACCACCTGCTCCCGGCCCACTGGAGCTAGAGGTGTTTCTTCACTCAGACAGCTGCTGGCTGCTGAGGCTGAGAAGCCCCAAGTTTGACAAGGAAAAAGGCACAGTCCCGATGTTACCAAACCACATGGTAGGCCATTAACTTAAGTCCGTTTTAAGTCCCAAGGTCGGCAGAGCATGGCAGGCTGCTGAGCAACGACACAGCTACATGCAGGGTCCAAGCATGCCATAAGCTAGAGACCATTCTCAAAGCTTCTCCTTATATACAGGAAGCAGACTACATACCCAAAGACAGCTACTTAGCTGCTTGTGGTAGATCTCACCATGAAGTTTATTGACAGTCTCATCATGGGGAATAACTACCACCAGCTGCCCAGCCACTCAACCAGGCCCAGCCAAGTTGATAAACAAGCATAACTACCACAAGTGTAAACCATTTGTGCCAGTTAGGGACCTTACTCTTATACCTAGCACTTAGTCTCTCTTTGTTGTTAGGTGCTGTCGAGTTGATTCTGATTCATGGTGACCCTCTATGACAGAGTAGAACTGCCCCATAGGATTTGCTAGGCTGCAGTCTTTATAGGAGTAGATCGTCAGATATTTTCTCACATGGAGCCACTGGTGGGTTCAAATCACCAACCTTTTATTTAACCATTGTGTTAGCAGGGCTCATTACTGGATTGTGAAACTTTTCAGAGCAAGGATTTTTTTTTTTTTTTTTTTAATCTTTGTAGATTCAAGGCTTTGAGAAATCCCCAGTAACTTAATACATTTAACTTAAGACACTTGTATTTTTAAAAATTCCTGCTGGCTCCCAGATCAAGAAAGAAAGACAAAAGAACTTGCAAACTCACTAGGAGTCTTGCTGGTCCCTCTTCCCTTTCATCTTTATACTCTGTGATTTTGGGGAAGGCAGACAGCTTTTACTGTCAGTTTTGGTTTACTCACTGGGTAAGCAGTAGTCCAGATCATCCATATTTAGGGATCAGTATGAAATCATTTTGATTTAGCTTTGGAATTGTCTGAAAATTTGAATCTAAATGTGAATGAGTCTTATTGTTCTCAGAAGTTTCATTAGAAACCAGATCCAGGAGTTATTGGTTAAGTTCATACAGGGGGATGTCCCAGTTATTGGACTTGACCATGCTGGTCATTTACCAGCTTTATCTCCCATTGAAAATGAACAGACTGGCATTCTGGATTATGTGTGTGTATATGTGTGTGTATTCTGGAAGAAGTGTTTGTCTCTTATGAGCTTGGATGGCATTACTGAGTTCACAAGAGCCTGATAAGTCATACTGAAAAAAATGAAAGTTGTGGTTATGGGCTATATAAACTCTTTTCCCCTGCAAAATCCCAACTCTCTGGCCATGTCTACCTTATATAACTCCAAATGGGAGCAGTCTGCCTGCTCCATCCTATTCTCTTATTTGACATCTCCCACCTGCCAGAAATTCATCACTTCTCAAGCTCATTTCTTCCATTCTGTCTCTTGTGATCCAAGATCAGGGCAATCAAGGGATTACTGAAGCTGGATAAAAATGTCACAGAAATGCTAAGAATCAGTCTCTTGCTTTCTCCAAGGGCTTGCTGCTAGAAAAAGTTATCCCTGGCATGAAAACAGTTTTGCAAAACTACATTATAATGTTTAACTCATCTGTTCAAAGATTGGGACCTGTGAAGTCTGTCTGGGTGGTGTGACTCTTTACCAAGGACCTCTGCCAGTAATAACAGATAGTCTCAAGTTTCTGCTGGAGCATATACAGTGCTTAGTACTGGGATTTCTTCCCAGAGGACACTGGGAGAAAGGGAGAGGAAGATGGAGATGATGCTATGGTGAATTGAGGACCAAAGTGAAAATGGCAAAGGCAGAATTGAGTGAGTAGGAGTGGATGTGTTAATCTGATGATATTTCTCAAAAGTAAAACTGAGGTTCAAGCACTCTTCTGCCTTAATTCTTAGATCCTGGATTGGAGGTATCTCAGGACACTTACCTGCATACAGGTGTACAGCTGGTTTTCTAAGGATCTCAGTTTGCCCTTCAACTTGTCTTCATTGAGCTGCCCCTGGAGTAGATGGGATGAGTTAATGAGTTTAGACTAAAGTGTAGTCTGCAAAAAGTTTTACTCTCTGTTCCCAGCCCATTGCTAGCATGTTGTAGGTACTCAAACAATGTTTGCAGAACTGAATCTTCCCAGAGGTGGGGAGAAAGAAAGATGACAGAGGGTGTTTGGGCAGAGGAAGGTCTTCTCTTTCTCTGCAGTAGGAAAAGGGAAAATCAGACTGGCTCCTAAAGTCCTCCTTTTGTACCTTGAGGTTATCTATCAAATGACTCAGGATACCATAGCAAGAGTCCACAGGAAGGAAAGCTTCTAAACGATCTGTTCCCACTCTCCCCTGTCTAGGCACTTATCTACTCCTCATGTCTCAGTCTGGGGCTCTGAGAACTTGGACTTTTCACTCTAAAGTGTAGGCTAATAAGGCTAAAGGGGTCTCTCATCTCAGGGTAAGTGTTCATTCCCCTACTTAACCCCCATCCCCAGCCCAGCAGATATACTGGACTTAAGATGAGAAATTCTTGAAAAAAAGCAAGCAATGGAGGGAGAAAAATTTGAAAGAAGGGTCAATAAGAGGACTTCCTAGAAAGCCAGGTTTATTCATAAGCCAGATCTGTGTAATGATGTGGACATCCCAAGAAGAATGCTAGTCCTAAGGGTAAGGGTAGAAGAAGGCAGGAAAAAAGGGTCATTAACTGTTCTTCAACTTTTCAGTATTTCAGCTGAGTAGCTAACAACTTCCTGTTGCTTTGTTCTTTCTGACAAGACCTGTGGACCTGTCCCCTCTTCCCAGGTGGAAAGTTTTGTTCTTCTGCCTGTAGTTTTTTTCAAGGTGTGTATGTATGACGGGGAGCTCTGGTAGCGTGATGGCTAAGGCACTTGACTGCTAACCAGAAGCATGGTGGTTCAAACCCACCAGCTACTCCTCAGAAGGAAGGTTGGGCAATCTACTTCCATAGTGATACCACCTCGGAAACCCAAGGAGGGGTTGCTATGAGTTGGGTCCGACTTGATGGCACATAACCACCACAACAACATGTATATGAGGAGGGGAGGCAGTGTCATCAATGAGAGCTAGTTTCCCAGAGTAAGGGGCAGGGGCTTCTTTAGCAATAATGGGCTTTCACATCCTTCTCTGACTTTTTCCAGCCAGGCCCAGTGGGGCACTTGTGGGTCCTAGAAATTCTACTCCCCCTCAGGCCTGAAACTGTGGCCCTTTTCAGCCAGATGGCCTGGATGTTTCCAACTCTCATAATGTTTCCGATCTATAACTGTCTGGGGGCAGAAAGGGGAGTCTGTTTTGAGGTCTGTCCTCCTCAATGAGTTTCAGGGTGCCTGGGGGAGGCAGGAAGTGGTATCTAACAGCTCCTGTTTTGATCTTGTTTGGCTGATTCTTCTGACCATGGGAGCCAGGGGGCGCCCCCACCCTTTCTGCTTCCTGTGTTACTCAGCTGGGCCTTGCAAAAGCAAAGGGCTTTGCCAAACATAATTTTTCAAAGTGCCTCTTGCTATTAATGTTTTTCCTAATGTCTCGTGTGAGCACTGAGAGTTGGGGATTTGGCATCTACAGTAACCGCAGAGCTCCAAGGCAGATAAAGAGATGGACAAAGATTTCCACTGTTCTGAGCTTTGGAGTAACTGGTAAAATGGTTTCATTCTCCAGAGTGGCCTGTTAATTGTCAATCACAGGTCCTGAACCAGTCCCCCTTCTCCCTTGGTTCAGCTGTCCTTCCTGTGACTCCATGCATTTTCCTTTTCCTGAACTCTTACCGTACAGAATGCAATCAAACTTTCCCAGTTTAAGGCTTACCTTGCTATAGTTTGGGAAGAAAACACACTGATCTTAAATTTTCCCCAGTCTCCTGTGGTGCTGTCTCTGGAAGTTTTTCTTCCCAGACCATAGCTCCTCTCTCCCTGTTCCTTAGTATGGCTTTACTCCAGTATTTTGCCTTTTCCAACTGTTCTTGTATTTAGCCCAACCCCAGATTAATTTTCCACTCATGTTGCAATAGAAGACAATTCATGATAGCCCTTTCAGTGGAGATGAAGGGCCACCCAAGGTTGGGACTTGAAGAAATCTCTTGTCCACAGCTCTGCCTCCCTAGATTCCGCAAGGCAGGCAGGAAAGTTGCAGCCAAATTGTTGCAAATGGGGCATATAGTTTCCTGGTCTGAGCTCCAGTTCTCCCCACACTGAAGCCCAGTGTTACAGTAAGTTTACAGGCCCAGTACTAATCTTCTAGGCAGTCTCACCCAGGAGCCCAGGGCTTAGAAAGCACAATGACCCTGGGGGAAAAAAGAAGCAAGACTGATGCTATACACACCTTATGCTGGTCTGAGGGCTTCAGCTCCTGCTTCTGCTTGGTTTCCCCCTGCCTCTGATCTGTTCTCCAGAAACACCACCACCTCACCGCAGAAGCACCAGCCCACAGCTTCTCTGTCTGCCCTAGTAGAGGTTACTTAGGGCTTGCAGCCAATCCACTGCTGAGCTGTCATCTCAAGATCTTGAATCCACTTTGCAGATCTTAAAATGCAAGTGTGCCCTACTCCCTTTTCTGTATTGCCCAGTGTTGAGAGTCTTGCTTTTTCTTCTTCCTGAGCTGTTCCTGCTCTGGTGGTTGGACCCAGTTTAGGAATCTCAGCAGTGCCCCAGGGCCTCTTGCATCCAGAAGGCCCAGAGTCAGTTTAGAGAGTGGAGGCAAAGGACATTGCTGATCCTCTGTCCTCAGGGTTTTAATAAATAAAGAGGTTTTGGTAAAAGGCTCTGCATGTGAGGTTGGAGATTCAAATCATGGAGGCCAAGTGGAAAAAACAAGACCTGAATTGAGCTGAATGTCAGAGTCCCAGTTCTGGCCACATTCTCCAAATTATTTTTTCTAAATACTGCAGACTGGAGCTGTCCTTTTCATTTAAGTTGAGGCTTTCAGGGATGGCTAGAGAGTCGAATTGTCTTGCTTTAGGGCAAGAAGGAGCTCTCAACTGAAAAATCTGAGACTATTTTTCTTAAAAACAGGAAACTCGGTGTTGGTAAGGAGGAGGAAGAAGAGAAGGGTGAGTGAGTAGTGGAAGGGGTGGGAAGAAGGGAGGGAGAAAACCACAGGCAGAGGAACTTCTCTGTTCACCGACTGGGTGTGGGGCAAAACCAACCTCCTGAGTCTACGCTGGAAATATGTCTTAATAATCCTCCCAGTTCTCACCAACCTGGCTATAATTCAGGCTCTGATTGTATTTTCCCTCAGCTAATACAGGACTTCCATCTCCTGCACACCCACCTGGAGCTAGGATCTTCATTGCTGCCAGACAACTTTGCAGAACATCTAATCATTTACTTTCAATTCCATTTCATAGATACCACCGAGCGCCCTTTAAGGATGGGCCAGACACTATTAGATGAAGGACTTTAAACCTGAATAAGGCATAGTTCCCTTGCTACTCTGCTTGTTGCCTTTAGCAGTGTTCTTCAAACAGAGTAGCATCATTCTCATGAATCTGTATACATATGTGTATATATACACACATGTATGTACATATGTATATATTTCCTTTTAAAAGGGGTCCATATGTTGTTTAGCTTTAAGATACTGTATTCAACATAAAAAGTATAAGTTACATAATTCTAAAATGAAACTCAGTGCCATCAAGTCAATTCCAACTCACAGCAACCCCCTTTGGGTTTGCAAGGCTGTAAATCTTTACAGAAGCAGATTGCCTTATCTTTCTTCCACAGAGGCACTGGTGGGTTTGAACCACCGACCTTTTGGTTAGCAGCCAAATGCCTTAACCACTACACCACCAGAGCTCCTCTAGAAGCTGTCTAAAGTCCTTTCTAGCTTCATCTTTGGTACTTCTCTGACGTGATGCCTTTATTTCAGCCATAATCTGCTGTACCCAATACTGTGCCACATCTAGACCTGTAATCATTCTGATTCCTTCACCTTAAACAATCTTCTCCTTGCTGCCCTGTCTTCTCCATTATTACTTCTACTTCTATACTGGTAAACTCATAGCCAATTTTGAGGACCCAGCTAAAATATCCTCTTTCTTTTGGAGCCTTCCCTATTCTACCTCAGGAATACTTTCTCTTTGTTACCTTCTCTTTTTTCTTTGTGGTGGTTTTACATATGGCTGTTACATCTTTATTGTACTGTTCTTATTTATTTTTACATATCTCACTCTTCTTGGCTAGAATGCAAACTCCTTAAGAGCAAAGATCCTCTTCTTTTTTTCCCTGTAGCACAGGGTCAAGCACATAGGTGAAACTTACTAAATGTCTGTCAAATAAGTGAAACTATCTCAGTTTGGAGTCACTGGGTGGTGCAAACAGTTAACACATTCACCTGCTAACTGAAAAGTTGGAAGTTGGAGTCCACCCAGAAGTGCCACAGAAGAAAGGCCTGGTGATCTACTTCTGAAAAAACCAGCCATTGAAAACCCTATGGAGCATTGTTCTTCTCTGACACACATGTGGCCATCAGTTAGAATCGATTGATGCCCATTGCAGTTGAGTTGATTCCAACTCATAGCGACCCTATAGTACAGAGTATAACTGCCCTATAGAGTTTACAAGGCTGTAAGTTGTTATGGAAGCAGACTGCCACATGTTTCTCCCCAGCAGTGGCTGGTGGGTTTGTTTGAACTGCTGACTTTTTGGTTAGCAGCCAAGTGCTTAACCACTGTGCTAGCAGGGCTACATATGAACTCAATGGCAACTGTTTTTTTTTTTTTTTTTTTTTAAATCTTAGTTTAGTTCAACCCCGGAAACCACCTGGCATACACAGCTGTCTGTCTCAGGCTTCTACTCTGCTACTGAAAATGACTTCCTTACCAAAGAACCTTGTCATAGACACCTAAACCCAGTTACAATGACTGAAATTAGGAAGGAGACTGAGCTTAGGAAGTCATTTTAAAAATACCACTGCCAACTTCTCAGTTTTTCCATTCCCTTCCCTTACATTTCTCTAAGCACAAGGCATTTATGTGGTAGTATGAGATGTTCATGGAGACCTCTGAGTTCATGTGCTTTCTCTCTCTACAGCAGGTGCTTTATGCTTTTGTGGCTTCAAGCTGCATGTGACTTCCTGAGCATACTAGGCTAGGGGTTCTCAAAATGGGGTTCTAGGACCCCTGGGTATCCCCAAAACCCTTTTAAGAAAGGGGCAAGGTCCTGCCTTTTCCAGCTACAGATCAGTATGAGGCTGGATTTTTCTTGGTACACTTCAATTGAAACAGCAGATTGAATGAAGAAGTAAATAAAAGAATCTGCCTTCTGTTAAACCAGACATTTAAAAAAATCAGTAAAAAATGTAAAACAGTGCCATTCCTCTCTTTTTTTCTTTTGGTTTTGGAAATATAGTTTTTGTTTTTTTAAATAAAAACATGTAATTTATGTTCACATGCCATGGGGTTTATTAGTGCACTTTTAAAACTAATAAAAAAAATTTCTGTTTTAATTTCTAATATAGTAGATTCTAAAATGATAATTATTTGGGGTTTTCAACAATTTTCTTAAGAGTATAAAGGGGTCTTGAATTTAAAAAGCTGGAGAACCATTGCCCTAGACTGTATTATGCCCTTGGGTATTTGCCTGGCTGTATCCACTGTCTAGAGTATTGTCCCTGCATCCATGTCTGCTTGACAAGTGCTTATGTAACTATAAACATTTCTTTGGCTCTTCTCTAGGGGAACTCTGGTAGCATAGAGTCATTCATTCATGCTTGTATTCTCTGTATCTTGAAAACATAGATTTCATTACTCATATATAATGTATTGTTTAGGTGTCTGTCTCCCTTACAAAGCCACAAGCTCTTTAAAAGCAGGAACCCTGTCTAATTCATCTCATTATCTAGTACTAGCCCAGAGTTGGTCCGGAGAACATGAATAATGAGTATCTGTTGAATGAGTGGACTAAAATCAGGAGGCCTGAATTTTAGTCCTATTTCTTCCACTAACTAGCTGGGTGACTGTGGGCAAGTCCCTTGACTTCTCTGAGACTCAGTTTGTTCATCTGCAAAATAAGAGGATCAGACTAGTTGATCTGTAAGTCCCTTCCCACTCTGACATTCATGTCTGGGCTAAATAGCGGACACATGCAGACTTGAAGTTAATATTGGTGTGAATCCCATATGTAAATATTTGACAATTTACTGTGTTCAGTAATATTAACTGTTTGGGATCACCCTTTTCTTCTAACAAATTAAAACCCAGGGATTCTAGCTACTTTTGATTTCTGGTCTTCCTTGGGTGTATGGTAGTAGCACAGCCCTCAAGTGAGGATACTGGACTTTGCAAGCTCTCCTGTATATTTATTGTGACCTTCTTGACCTCTAGGAGCTCTGGTGGCATAGTGCTTAAGGCATTTGACTGCTAGGTCTCAGCACCATCACCCTGGTGTGAGAAAACCCATTCTTTTACCAAGATGTTATGAAAAGATGGGATGGATACACATAGAAGCCCATGAGGCTTTGTTCAAACAAAGATTTCATTCCCTTACCTTCCAGGAGCTGTCAGAGGCCCGAATTAGGTGGGACAGTAAGTCTTGAAGAATCACCATTTTCTGTTTTAGGATCAGTTCCCGTTGTAGGGCCTCCTGTGGGGGTGGGGTGGGGGGCAAAAATGCAAGAGGATGAGGTTAACCTGGAAAAGGAAGGGGGAGGTGGGTGGATGAGCTGGAAGGTAAATTCGTAGTTCACTTACTTTGAGGTACTCAGAAAGCTGCATGATTTCCTGCAGAGAAAGAAAAAGTATTTTAAAAGATACTAGGTACCCTGAAACATGGAACCAGAGCCAGAGTTGGCTAGTGTAGGGGAAAGTTCTTGCACCTTGGTTCTGGCAGGGTCCTTGTAAGCCCTCATGTCTCAGTATCCCTTGCCTTCCAGGAAGAATATATTCCTCCATCCCAACCTAAGATTATCACAGAGTTCTAAAATATCAGGACTTAAAGGAGCTTAGATACCATCTGATTCAACCCCTGTAAAATAAAGATTTTCTTACCTTATCCAGAACTGCAACTCCATAGCTGGGAAGAGAAGAAATAAAAGAATGACAGTGAACCAAAGAAAAAGGCATGCCATGGTGCAGTGGGTTGATTCCTTCTGTGAACTTGTCTGAAGAGACAGTAGTTTGGGAAAGGGCTTCTTCATTAATTAAGATGTATATGGGAATTCATTGTTTCATTGTGTTTTCTATCCACACCCTGGGTGTTATGTTCAATAAAAGCTTAGAAACTGAGTAAGAGAGGAATGGTTGGGATGTAAAGGGGTTGGGGTCAGGAAGTGGCCCATGAAAAGTACTCACTTGGTTTGTTGACTGGCATCATTTTTGATTGTTGGCTGTGCTTCTTCTTCCTTTGTCTGAGTGCCTGAGAGATGAAGGACAAGCTGATTCAGAGCCCATTCCAAGGGAAAGAGGGGACAGTGTTGTGGGGCATGGACTCTTTGCTGCCAGTGAGCTGAGGCTGCTGTGGCAGGATTCTTTGCAGGCCCCACTGAGTGAGGAGGTTCTGTTCTTACCACGGTGGTGTTTGGGTGGCTTCTTAATGGGAGAGTTGTGTGATGGAAGGTGCTCAGCCTGTGAGGACAGGTGGCCAGCCAGATCCCTCCAGACACCTGGGGGAGGATGATGCTGGATTGGAACCATCTCAGAGGTAGTCTCTGCCACCTGGAAAGCAAGTTGGGGATAGACAGAACCACTGCTCAGTGCATCTTAGAAGATTTTCCCACTGATTGCACCAAGATGAACCATTGATCTTCTTTCAGGCTCAAAAACCAAAGTAACCTACTCTACTTGTTAGAACCTCAGTTATCCCTGCCCCTGCTTATAGTCTCTGTTACCCTGCCTATAGAGGACTATAGCGCAGGGTAACAGGGAGAAGGATTGTCTCCAAATATTCTTTCTAGAATCCCTGTTTTGTCTCAGCCACTCATACAGCCAGCATGCTAAGGAGGAAAGAACACTGGTCTGGATGGGGAGTAAGGGTATCTGGGTTCAGATCCTGCTTTTTCTAGGTTTCAGTCTCCTGTCTATGTACTGAAGAGTTTGGAATAGATAATCCCTAATGACTCTTCCAAGGAGCCTTGGTGGCACAGTGGTTAGTACTCTCAGCTGGTAACCAAAAGGTTGGCAATTGGAACCCATGAGAGACAGATTGGTAGTCTGCTTCCGTAGAGATTACAGCTTTGAAAACCTTATAGAGCAGTTCTTCTCTGTCCTATAGTCGGAATTGACTCAACAGCAACAGGTTAAGGTCCTTTCCATATTCTACACATGGGTGTCCTTCTCATTAGTAATAGCAGGAAATCAGTAAAGTTTTGTGTGAAGAGAAGGAAGAGCAGGTAGTTGAAAAGAGAGGTGTAGAGGTTCTTTTCACAATTTAGTCAGCTCTTTTTATATTTAGTTCTTACAAACTAAAAAATTTGGTAAGCACAGCAGTAAAAGGCTTAGAAATGCCTATGATATTCAAACTTGCAAACTGACTCAGTCACGATAAAACTTCAAATAACTGATAGGTGGAGTTCTTTAGTTAATTGTATTTTCTGTTCTTTTTTTTCCCTCAAACTTTTGTCGCCCCCAACAGAAAAAGCACATGGTTGGTTTTCTCTTAACATTGGAACCCACAGTGCTCTGGGATCATTTGTGTGGATAGTGCTTTTTACTGCAGTAACAGATCCACTGGTTAATCCCTGACTGAGCACCTATTCTGGAAACCGCTCAATGCCAGGCACTTCCAGGGAAAACGGCAGTCCTGTCCCTGCTGTCAGCATGTGCACAGCATGAGTGGGAAGACACAGATCGTTTGCTGGATGAGGTCAGCTTGACATACTTCATTTTTTTTTTTTTCTTTGCCAAGACTGCTCCTTCCCAGGGCAGATTAATGGGTCCTCTAAGAGTGCCACACTCTTAGAAGATTTATAACCTCACAAAGCCACAGAGAGCAGAGGTGGCCTAGCTTTCTGGACCAGATGAGGCCTTAATGGAATAAATATGGTAGAGTCATAATGGGCCAGGAGAAAGAGAGAAGGTAGGTGAGTGCAACAGCTTCAGAGAAGAGTGGTGAAGGGAAATTATTTGTGTGTGTGTATGTGTATGAGTGTGTTGGGAGAGACAGTGTCAAGGGAATTGACATGGGTACCTGGTTTATTACAGGCATTCAATAGATATCTGTTGAATTATGGGTGAATGAATGGTGTAAAGTGACTGTAGAAGGTACATAGAGATTTCCTAAAATTTGAACTGATACTAGATATTACCTACGGAGTTGCTTTAAAAAATATTTTCCTCTCCTAAAAACTAAGTGCAAAACAAAGCAACTAAATAAACAAAAATAAGACAAATTCTGAATGAATAAATAGCTAATGGAGGCTTTACTGTACGACTGACAAAGGAGAGACTTACTTTAAATCACTTTTTAATGACCTTGAACCCCACTCTATGTAGTCATCCTCCCACACAAGATAGTGTGTCCCTCAACATGGCCCACCTGCTGTCCAGAGGAAGAGCTCCTGTTGGTCCAAGATGAGAGTGCATTGTGGTCACTTGCCTGGACTGTCCTCCTAGAGGGACCTTGCTCCCTAGCCTGGAAACTCTGTGCCTTGCTTTTCTCCTCCACTTCCAGGTTCCTTCTCCTGAAGAACTGCTGTTGTCGAGCTCTCCTGAGCTGCTCTCTTTGCTGGGTCCTCAGCACTTTCCCCACCTGGCGGCAAGTGGTCACGTTACGGCGGCAGCGGCGGCTCTCACGGGTCTCCTGCCTGCGCTCACACTTGGCCTCGTAGCTCTCTGCCCACCGGGCCAAGCCAGGGGAGGGCCTGGGGTCTGGGCTGATCATGCTGACCTCCTGAGCACCTGTTGTGCTTGGCTTCCAGTTCCTGGAATAGCTGCCTGGATCTGCCAAATGGCAAGAGGGAGGAGAAGGGGAGGGGTCAGAAGATGGGCAGAAAAATTACTGTCTCCCTGGACAAGGGGGCAGAAATAGCACAGCATTCCAAGCATGTGGGTTGGAAACTGAAGTTGTGACGGTGTCATATTGGGCATCAGGAGTGCAGTCTCTATGATAATCTTGCCTTTATCTAGTCTGTGTCTCCCCCTAGGTAAAGTGGGAAGAGTCTCTCTGGCCACAACTTCTTCCTTTACTGAATATCTCACCTTGCCTCTAACACAGGGGAGCATGAGAAGTGACAAAAATTATAAGGTGTTTATACCTTTTGGATGGTAGCAGGTAGAGGTGTTCATTCATACTAACAGACTTCTAGAGAAGCAGTTAAATTGGCTCCTTTCTCACAATCTAGAAGCAAAGTCAGCATCTTCAATGCTCTATTGGCCTAAGTTGTTACTAAAATAGTGACTCTTTTCAAGGCCTGGAGGGATAAACAGATTCCACCCTCAGGATGTGGTCAGTTGTGACCGGCACTCACTGCGCTCATCTTTACCCTTAGTGACTAGCTTGTGAGGCTAGTCCTGGGCATGGTTTTGGGGCAGGGAATCTCACCCTACTTCCTCCATCATGAAGTTCTGAAATAAGCCCAGGACCAGGCTCTGATTCTCAGCTTTAGATCAAGTCAGTATTGGCTGAATACCTGCTGTATGTCCAGTGCTGTTGATACTCATTTCAGAACTTCTGGTTCAAAAACTCTCCCAGCTGAATGTTCTGTTGTTTTTTAGGATCACTGTGGTAGTTAAATTTGTATGTCAACTTGGCTGGCCCTGGTTGAGTGGCTGGGCAGCTGATGGTGGTTATTCCCCATGATGAGACTGCCCATCAACTCCATGGTGGGACCACAGGCAGCTAAGTAGCTGCCTTTGGGATGTGGTCTGCTTCCTGTATACAAGGAAAAGCCTTGGGGATAGCCTCTAGCTTATGGCACACTTGGACCCAGCATGCAGCCATGTCATTGCTCAGCAGCCTGCCATGCTCTACCGACCTTGGGACTTTCAATGGTCTTGAATTAATGGCCTGCCATGTGGTTTGGTAACATTGGGTCTGTGCCATTTTATTTGTTGACCTTGGGTTTGTTAGCCTCAGCAGCCGGTAGCTGCCTGAGTGAAGAGATGTCTCTAACTTCAGTGGGCCAGGAGCAAGAGGCAGAGCTGAAGTCCAAGGTCAAGGGGCTTTCACACAGCACCTAGAACCTGGCACTTTGAACTAGCCTCCTGAACTGTAAGAGAATAAACTCCTGTTTGTTAAGGCCATCCCATTTGTGGTATATTCTTGTCAGAGCGGCACTAGGTAACCAGGATCATCACCTTCCTGTCAGAGCTAAGACTGCTTTTCCTTAGCCCACTAATCTTCCTGGGTCCGGGCACAGAGAGTCCCATCAAAATCAGTAACCATATGGTTACTCAACAAAGATATTGCAAACAAAAGCAAAACAAAAACAAACAACAACACTCAGTAAGCAGAAGTCTCCAGAGATCCAGGGTCAGTATAGAGGCCACACTTGAGGACCCTTTGCATGGCCTCACTTTCCACTACTCACATAGCACCCAAACTCTTACCTCCTCTTCCTTCTTTGTGCCTTTCATTCTCTTTTCTACTCATCCCCACCTACCTTCTGCAAATGTGCTTATTTTCTAGAACACTCTTGTGGCTTTGCTAAGATGGGTAGACTTGGATGAGCTGGATCCTGAGCAATGGAAATTCTGTCCTCCCTCCACTGATCCCTGGAGTCAGTCAGACCAGTAAATGATGAGGCAGTAGGACTTCCCCTTAAGGCCACTACTTCTCTTCTTCTCACAACTTCACTATCAGCACACTGGAAACTTTAATTCCTGGGCAGGTCAGAGAAGGGAATCTCAGCTTCATCAACCAAGAGACATTTTCTAGATGGGCCCTCTTGTGTTTATTTATAGGCCAAACAGACTCAAATGTAGCAGCCTCTCTGCCCCTTTATTGGAATTTAGCTGCTTGTCCTGGCTTGGTCCAGAATTCTCTGCAGGATTCTTGCTTTCTTTCTTGTGATCACACTACTCATTCCTCAGAGTCATGAGTGGAACATTCTCACTGCCTGAGAGGAGCATTAGGTGGCCAAGCCCTGGATGCTCTCAAATGCATGACCCTTCAGGGTGTGAGGGGCACATTGGTCTCAGACATGGCTAATCCCAATCAGAACTGTGAGTTTGTCAGTTTTTGTCCTTTAAGAACCATTCCTGAATGGCTCTCCCCTTTCTTTAGACTTCTCTCCTCACTTCTACTCTGTGAGAATCTTTTGATTTTCCACACGCCATTTTATTTAAAAACTTAGCAAAATATCTGAGAGACCCATCCATACTAAGGTATGGAAGAGAACAAGGAGTATTTGCATGTCAACTCCATGTCCTGAATTATACTGGTGGCATCACCATGGCTATTCTGCCATAGGTGGTGGGTGAGAACTCTGGCTCTGGAGTTAGATTGTGTGGTTCTGTCATGTTCCACATGTGTGTTTTTGGACAAGATGATAAACATCCCTAGGCCCTATTCTAAAATGGGGCTAGAACCTACCTGGTAGGGTTATAAGGATTAAATGAGAAAAATGCAAATAAAGCACCTGGTACATTGAAAAAGAAAAAAAAAAAAAATTGCCTTCAAGTTGATTTTGACTTGTAACGACCCTATAGGGTGAAGTAGAATTCCCCCATGGAGTTTCCAAGGCTGTAAATCTTTATGGAAATAGACTGCCACATCTTTCTCCAGTGGAGCAGCTGGTGGGTTAGATCTGCTGAACTTTTGGTTAGCAGCCACATGCTTTAACCACTGTTCCACCAGAGCTCCTTACCTGCACTTAGCACACAATTAATATTTGCTTTTATAATAATAAATATGAGATATTATAATTATTTCCTCTGCCTTGCTGATCTTGGGCATTCTTGAAGACTCAGTGCTGAGAGGCAAAGGCCCAATCTAACCTAGCTCTCTCACAGGGCAAAGAATGCCTCATCCTCTAATTTTCCCAACCCTCTCTCTCTTTGAAAGATTACTGTTTATCAGATTGAGGGGATGCTAGCCCCAGCTTGAAATCAAACTTACTTCTCTGATTTATCTGGCCTCTGGTTTTGGGCCACAGGGAGAAAGGGCTTCTCTGTGGTCTGGGCACAGTCACAGTCTCAATTAGGCCAGACAGAGAGAACAAGTGGGGGTTAAGAATTGGGGTCCAGTCTGCCTGAATTCCACCCTTCAAATGTGGAGTTCTAGGTCTCCTCCTTGTTTGGCTTAGGTTACCCTCAGGCTTTGTAGTGGAGGTGAATCCCCTTATTTTTAGAATCCTACCTCCCTGTTCTGAAGAGGATAGGGCTGATGTGGGAAGTTGGGGGGAGCTGAAATGAGTCCCTGTGGGCTCTCCAAATGGGCAGGTACATTATGAGTGCACTGAAACAAATGGCAGAAAGACAGATATTGGAACTTACTGTCCAGGAAGGGAGTTGGAGTAAAAATAGCTCTTTAGATATGTCAGTGTTCCTGGGTCCCCAGACCCCCAGATTCAGTGTGGCATAGGTAGTGGAACCATACCCAGCTGTCAGAGATGTCTTGACTATTTTGACTTGCTTAAAAACAAGAAGCCATGTGGGACGGCTGATTGACAAGTGTGGGCTATAGAAGAAAATGGAACTTGTCCCTGTAGGCTTCATAGCATACTGCCCAGGCTTTCTGGCATCTCTGGTACTGGAAGGGTCTCCCTGGCTACTACTTCTTTGACTGAAGTAGCATGATAGGACCTAGTTGGGACTTGGAGAAAGGAGGTGTGGATGGTGGCTGGCAGAGGCTCCTTTCCACCACAGAGAAAAAAAAATGCAGTGTGGCTTTACCTCACCTGAGAGAGGCTTGCCCCTGCCTTTCCAAGTCTCTGCTCCTACTTCCTGGGTGGGTGTGCAACAGAGACAGACAATGGATGGCTTCTTGCTCAGAGCTGGCCTTCCTAACCCAGTGCTCTCAATTGTGAGCTGAGGAGAGAAGGGCCAGCATCTAAACTCCTAAAATGGCAGCTTCATGTTATGGGCATCCCTGATTTGATGGGAACCATAAAAGGACATTTAATTCATGCTCCTGTCAGTGGGTAGCCTGAACCCTAAAATTTTTGACTTGCTTCTAATCTAGTCTAGTGGATGGAGCAGAGGAGAGATGGAAGCTCTTGTACCCCTGTGTGTATCAACACAGGACCCTTTCTTGGTTACCCAAATCGCCAACACTTTCATTAAGCTATGGCACCCACTTCCGTGTCTCCCTCTTTAGCCCAGAGCAGCCTGGATGACCGAAGGTCTTTTGTCCCTCCCTACCACAAAGTTAGAGGCCCCAAACCTAGACCCAAAAGCATCCTCATTATCAGTTACCTCTGGATCTCAGGCTCCAGCCTCAGCAGCTCAGGAAAGCATTCCACTGCTGGGCAGATCTTGGCTCTGGTCTCAGATGGGGTAAGACAGCAGCTGCGTGAAGTGCAAGCTCTCAGTCCATGGTCCTGGGCCCCATCGGCATTTCCCTTCTTGGTAATGTCTTTCTTTTTGTATAGCAGCCTTGCTTAAACAGGAAACAGACAAAGCCACAATACTTGCAAACCCCAGTTCCTCTCTGTTGCTCTCTGGCATGATCTGAGTGGGCCCCAGATCTCATGAGGCCTCTAGGGCTGGGCTCTAGAGCATCAGCTATTAGTGGTCACTTCAACCACCTTTTCTTTTGCTATTGTATTTTTCAGAGCTACTCTGCTTACAAGTCAATCTCCTACTCCAGGATGAGACAAGGGTGGACCTCTGGGTCAGATTCAAGGCCTATAGTTTCTGTTAGGGAAAAAAAACCATGTGGGTGGTAGAACCGAGAAGACATATTCTCAGTGTAGGTTTTCATGTGTATCAAGTAATTCT